ACGCGCGAGCGAGTGGAGCTGACGCCAAGGAAAGACTGCTGCTGCTGCTGCTGCTGCTGCTGATGATGATGATGCAAAGAAAGCATAACTAACCAGTCGGGGGTTGTGAAGGAGGGGGTGGAGGAGTGGAAAAACCAACCGCGCAGAGTGCGGGGGAGTGAGGAGGATGCTGCGGGTCTGAATGAAAAAGATGAGGGATGTGTGCTTTGAGACGGCGCTTTGATGCGCGATATGAAGTGAAGGAAAACACCTATAACAACCCATTAATCTCCCTCGCCAAGTTCGCTGTTGGCAGGCAACCGACAACAGACAACCGACAACAGACATCTCGTGTATCTCGCACACGGGCGCGAGTAGCATTGCCGCCGCGCCTTCCACTACGACGATACACATTCCTTTCCCCCACCTGCGACACGATGGCATCGAGCTTGACGTCACCATGCAGTACAAGACATACGGCGCCGTACAAGTACATCCCATTGCTCATAACCGTGTCCGAGTCGTCGTCTCCCGCCGTGACAGCGGCAGCGGCGGCGGCTCCGCTGCCGCCGCCGAAGGCGGCGGCCAGGCCGCCGCTGACCCCCTGCCGCCGGCCCCCACCGCCGCCGGCCCCCTGCCCAGTCAGCTTGCTGATGAGATTTAAAGACCGTTGGAACCAACCGCCACCTCCGTTACTGCCGCTACCGCTTTCTTGCGCGCCTGTGGCGGCGGCGGCGGCATCCGCGTTGGTGGCGGCCGCTGCGGCCGCTGCAGCCGCTGCAGCGGCGGCGGCAGCCCGCGGCTTGACTCGCGTCCGTACATCCTGTTGTGCGCTCCATGCGAACATGGCCCTCTGACGCGACCTGACACCCACACTCAGCATCCCACCTGGCAGTTAGGTGGCGGTGATGTTTGGGGGCGGGTGAAAGACGGGAGGCGCGGGGGAAAGGAGGGAGGCGCGGGGGAAAGGAAGGGGCAGAGGGCGGGAGAGTTACCCGATGTGCGACGAGTGCGCTAAGAGGCAGAAGAACGACAAACAGGAGAACGCCCTTCCCACCCGCCTCCGGTGGTTACGGTGGTTACGATGGTGGTGGTGGTGGAGGTGCAGGTGGTGGTGGTGGTGAGGTTGTGGGGTTGGTTTTTAAGTTGGAGTTGGGGTTGTTATCGTCAAGGAATACAGAGGGGGAGGGAACAAGACGGAGTGATGCTGATGCCAGAATGATAAGACGCGGGTAATCCAGGGGTTATAGACACAGAAACCGCCAGCAGGAGGGGGGAAGGGAGCAGCACGATGGGATGCAACCAACCCACCCAGCCCCCCCCCACCACCACCCCGATCACTCCAAGCTATTCGTCCTTACAGCTCTGTGCTCTCACGGGCTGAAGGGGTTTATGGTAGCTGTGGGAGTAACCGGCTCCCAATCAGTATTCGATTATTATTTTTATTATTCGGTGAGTGACTCACCCAGCTTTGTGGCTCGCGGAAAAGAGTAGTCCAGACCTTCCAAGATGTTGTACAGTTGAGTGAACCGTGGGTCACTAAACATGAGGAAGGACACGTGACGGTTGGTGTCCGCGGGAACGCCAACGAACTCTGCCCAGCGCTCCACAGCGGCATCTGCAACCAACCAACCAACCAACCAACCAATCATGTATAGGAGGTCAGAACGGGCCGCGGGTGGGAGGAAGGGAGACATACAACACACGTGATGAATTGAGCAATGTACGACAACTGACTAACTGGCACCATGTGTCGTACATTGGGTGTAATCATTTCGTGCCCCTAGTACCTGTTTTCCCCCGCCACCAGCACGCGACCTCGCAGCCAGGCCGTCAGTTAGGGGACATTGCTACACGTCCAAACTGAAAACTAACTAACCAACGCACGGGGTTACAACGGTTGGCGTTTTAGACGGAGGCGATGTCCCTAGGATCCAAAACCCACACCAACACCCACCAACACAACCCAAGCACGTCCACGACATCGTGTGTGTGTCTGTGTCACCAAGGGGCTCATCAATAATAGAACACTCCCTCGGGCGGTAGTATGCCCTCAGGACGCGTAGGGTTCATGTACAGGAGGATGCTGGTGACATACGTACATACGTACATACACACGTACACATATTCGCACGCCCGTCAGGTGCCTATGCCACGTACCCTCCTCCGGCACGCTGCTCCGAAGCGTGTGAAACACACGTATATCCACCTGGGGTTGTGGCGGGGTGGGGGTTGTGGGGGGTTGGGGGTTGTGGCATGTGCCGGGAAGAAAAGGGCACAAGGCAAAAAAAAGGAGCATGGGGGCAACAGGACCGGGGCTGGGGGGAAGCTGTTTGACAACAGACAGACGGACAGACAGACGCACATCCTCCCTCTCTCGCCTCTCCATTGGGCTGTCGGCAGCTGTCTCGTCCTATTTTGAAATCTTCACAACATTTCCCATTCCTCCTTCCTCCCCCCTTTCCCCCCTCGCACTCACCCCTCCAAGGGTACCCAAGCTGAGACTCAGCGCCGGCTCCCCATCCGCCTCTGTCGTACCCGACCGGCCGCCACCGAGCACACCGAACGCCTGTGTACGACAACAGGAAGAAGAACGCGAGCGAGGACGTGACCGCAACGCCCAACCGCATAACTACCGCATAACTAAATAACCGTGTAAACGCAATTTGGAACAACACATGAACTCGTGAATGCTGCAAATACATTTCCTCCCAAGGCTGAGTTTAGGTGAGTGAGGGGTGCAAAACCGCCATTAACCAACCAACGATATGCAATCACTTTTCACTGTCATTTCTTCCCCCCCTCCCCCCCCGGCCCGTGGCGCCCCTCTTAAAGGCCAAACCCTCCTAAAACCCGTGTCTCACTCCACTCCACTCCGTGCCGCTCCGCCCCACTCCAGCTCCGTCCCAACCCTTTCCTCAACAGCTGATGACGTCATCACCGGTCGGTGCATTTTTACAATTTCATAATTCCACTTCCGCACGCACACAGAGCCCAACCCTTTCGAACCCAACCACCAACCGCCACAACTTACCGAGCAACCAAACACGTGCTTCAGGGAGGGCAGTCTCTCGCGAAGCAAGGGGACCAATCGGTCAAAGTCAGAGCCGAACGCCGCAGACACGAACACGATGGCCAACTCGGGCTGAGGAGGCTCCGAGACCAGGGTCCCGCTGGATCCGGATCCGGATCCAGATTTCATGGCCCGGCGGATCTGCGCAATGCACTCGTCCACCGCGTCCTGGAAAGAAGGATATCGCAGCGCACGGAGGGGTGAGAGAGGGAGGGAGCTGCGGCCGTGGTGGTGCCCGACATTTCAAGATGTACGAGGGCAGAGGCACACGCGATCAGACAGGGTGGCCATTGGGCAGGCAGGCCATTCAGGCTAGCAGCAGATAGACAGACAGACAAACAGACAGATAGACAGACAGACAGAGGAGGAGGAGCTATGGTGGTAGGGGTAAGGACTGGCGGGGCTTCGGGTGCCCAGCGGACAGGGGGTTTCGTACAGCGGCCTCTGGTCTGGTAGCCAACTAGTACGGCAGAACGACGCCGCCTCACTGCCCCTTCCCCCCCAAAAAAAACACAATATTTCCCACCGCGCCGTTATGCAGCTTTCCCCTCCTTCCCCCCCTCCCCCGCCCCTCACTGTACGTAAGTCTTCTGAGTTCGGCCCTTTCCCCTCCCGCACTTGACCCCTCTGAAAATGAACGACGAGAACTCTCTGCCTGCTTGCTGCCTGCCTGCCTGGGCAGGTGGGTGGGTGGGTAGATCCACAGCCCGTAGCGAGAGCCTTTCCCCGCACTTCGCATGAACTTCCCGGGGTCCCACAACCCTCCATTTCCCCAACTCTCTTCCAACCCCAAGATGGAACTCCCCTTTCCCCCCCCTTCCGCAGGTCCGTTTGGACCGCCCTCCCTCACCCCACCACTTCCCACTTTCCTATATTAGTATTTGTGCTTCAACCGCCGCGTCCTTAACCCGCTCTCCTCCCCCTCTTTCCCCCCCCCCACACACCGGGCCCCCCCACACTCCATTACCACTGCCCTCGTTCTATTACCATGGGGCATGGGAGTGGGGAACAGGGCTTAAGGCCACATTCCCATCCCATCCCAACCAGGCCCACACACCCGCCCAACCCGCCCCAAGCCACCGGCCCATACTGCACTCTGGAAAGCTCCACGTACCTCCAAGGTGGATCTTCGGGACAAGTAGCAACCCCATTTAATGGATCCGTTCGGGGTTCGAACCTCGGTGGCGATACGTCCCTGAGATGCGGCCCCACCTCCAGAAGCTCCAGAGCCCCCGATAGCCCTCAGCAGCAGTGACTGACTCAGCGTGCGGTCCTGACGTGAGCTGCGCATCCAGCCATGTCTGTTGTGTCCAACCAACATGCCGTCCTTGCCCATGGCCACCGATCCTGGAGCCCGCCAGCCCGCCGCCGTCTGAATACGGGCTCGACAACGGGCTGGATAACCCCATGCCTTGCGGCAGATAAATGCACTGCTGGGACTTGCCGCGCGCTGCACCCTGGCGATGCCATGGGTCGTGGGTGCCGAGCTTGCTGGCCCCAGGCTGAGCAGAGACGAGTGCATAACCGCGGAGAGTTTTAAGCCGCGCGCTTGGGTTGTTAATGTGGTGCCGCGAGCTTGAGTATAGGATGTTGAGGAGGCACCGGGAAAGGCACTTCGGGGCTGCCCCATCGTCGCGTTATGCGTTCCAGGACAGGAACCGCAGCTTATGGGCAGGATCTATCCTTAAGCCCTGATCCTATGGCAACAAAACCTGGTTGTCAGCGTGCCTTCATTCTTGTATTGTGAACACGAGAAAACCTCACTCAGGCAGGCTGTTCTGTTCACAAGATGACTCAAATGGGATACAGGAAGCTTTCCAAAGTTAGAGTGTACTCCTTCCCCGAGGCACGGTTGGGAATCCCCGCGTATACGCGAAATGCGATCTCCATTCCGTTGGCAGCGATGCGAGTACGAGGAGGTAACAACGAGCGTATAACCAACTTTAGAAGGCCATTTGGATAACGACATTCATGCTTTATCTGTCTGAATTTTAATAACGAGCCAGTCCACCTGATCGGACGGCGCATACCTCCGGCTCGTTCGCTCACCATTATGATACTTAACGTCCACTAGGCACAAGCAACAATGTGTGATGGGTTCTGCGCTCTCACTATCTTCATCCCCAAACGATATGCTAAAGCGGTAGCCGGTTGGCCAACCACCGATAAAGCTTGGGAGGCGCAACAATATCCTGCCAAATCCTCCGCATCTTTAAGCCTAGAGCCTGCAGGAGAGCAGCAGCATCAACTTTGTCGTGGTCACTTTCATCGTAATCGCCTCAATTTTATGCCGAAGCCGAACCCCTTATGAAGATTCTCAACCAGCTCATATGCGGATCGCGTAATTTCACCTAGTAACCAGGTCCTTAGCTATCCGGTTAGAGTCCACCGCGCCCACCAGTGGCGCCCTGTGTTTTGGCCGGGACTATGCCCACCTAGGAATGCCCGCATTAGCATTCACACATAACCCAACCACGTAACCCAACCCCAAGCCTCTATCCTCCTCCAAATAATTCAAACTTCAGGACTCACACGGGGACTTAGCAGCAGGGTCCCCTGGACCATACCCTCGATGGGAAAGCCGCGAGCACCCGTACCTGCGCCATCCTCATCGTGCGCCAATAGCCCACAACACTCCTGTGGCAAACCTGGTATGTCGCATGAGGGTCGCGCTCCCTTATCCTGCTGGTACACAGATACAGTGCTGCACTACATGTCGCGGATCAGGAAAGCCCCCGCGGGCCGTCGGGGACAATCGCACACGATGAGGATGGCGGAGTAATGGGAGCTACCGGCCTTCGTGTGGTGGTCATATTCCAGGAAACACGAAAGATGATACGCGGAGGAGATGTGGTGAAGCCCCGTACATACACACCCTTCTGCAGTGTCAGCCGGCACGTAAACGGAGCGAGACGTCCAGCAGGACAGAGCATTACTTCCGTGCGTTCATTCCGTAGTAGACATCGTACTAGCAGGCATCGATTGTGACGGGAGGGACCTAAAGCTACACGCCGCCTCCACGTCGAGGAAGGAATTTGCGTTCTAGTGTTGTTGCCGGGTGATTATTACCATCCCGCGGTGTGGAAGCTGTCGCGACACAGGCACCCAGCATACACGCTCACACGTTGTGCCGGCTTAGGGACGACCGTCAGCTTGCGCACGATATCAACGCAGCCCCCGCAGCGGCATCGCGCCACCGGACGGCTGTGCATAGCACAGGCGGCGAGGCTGTGGCCAACGTTTTGCACAGGCGGTAGAAGCAGTACATCCGAGATAAGGGGATTTTTGGATTTTGAAAGTTTTACAGCTCATGCCACCTAACAATCTTACTGACGATTGTTCCTTGTTCCGTACCCGCCACAAATGAAATGGCGCCTATCATTTATGGATCTGGCAGCGAACACGTCGGAATTCATTGAGGTGGATTCCGCGTCCTAGGCAATATTCGTCATGGACGTGTACACCGTTCGCCAGCAGCAGGCGGGTACGTGCATCACATCGCCTGAACCTCTGCTGTACGGCAAACTGGCAGGGTTGTGCTGTCCCACAGCTCACTGCAACTGACCGATCAAGCTCGCTCCGACTGACCGACTGACTGACCGACCGACCGACTGACTGACTGACCGACCGACTGACCGACTGACTGACCGACTGACCGACCCTACCAAGCAAGCAACCAATAGCAGCCTACCTCCTAACTGACCCACGCAGCTTCACATCATCCGCACCATCATAGCGCTGGGACCTACATCAAATTGTGCATTTGATTTTAAAACAAGGGCTTCAAAGCGAGGATAAAGAAAAGAAGCACAAGCAGCAGCCTGACGTGGATAAAAGAACTTTAAATCACCCGCACAATCACCGCCTCGCGGGTGAATATGCTCGGTTCTCCTGTATATCTGTCTACATGTCTTGGCCATCCGCCGTGTAACCACAGCCGCAGGGCAGCCGGGTAATGTTGCCGTCAGTTACCAACAACTATAACCGACCAATCCAAAGCCATATCTTCTGATTGGCAGCACCAAAACCAGGCCAACAGACCTTCACCCCACAACAAGGCTTTGCTCTGTTTATAGGTTGGTGCGCAAAGACATATTAAAAAGACATACTTGCAGGAAACCCGCAAGGGAAGACATTCTATCGTTGCACAAAATTAAACAAACAAATAGCTATTAGACTTCAGCACGGGGACTACGGCCACAGAAGACATTCCTGCAGCCAATGGCCCATTCCTATCAAAGCCTTTTTCTGTCCATAAAAACATAAAAAAGAGTCAGTTCAAAGCGCAGCACACCGGGCTGACTCCCGGTTTGGCGCCACCCTTTGGCGGCGGTCCACTCGGCGCCACCCACACACCTATCTGCGCTGACGGATGCGTAGACCTGCGGCTGGCGACATATGCAGCTGGCCACCACCGCAGTAATGGCGCAGTACGCCCTCTCGCCCCCCAAAAGGGAAGCAAAAGCAAGAGTATGCAGGTGTTGCCAGCCAGGCTGCAGATATCCATAATGTATATCCCCACATATACACTTACCCCGCTGAAATCGAGAAATCGACATCGTGCAAAAGGCACCTACAACAAGGAATAACGATCGCTAATTCAAATACCAACAGGTGTACACGCTTCTTGCTCATGGCGATATCCATCCAACAACAAAACAGGAAAAAGAAACACCTGCCTTCTCAACGAAACAACGCTGGCCGCGAAGAGCGCCATGTATTGAAAAAATATGAGAATCCATGTGTGCGTGCAGGTGTGTATATGTATGTACCTATGTATGTCGTTGCCGGCATCACTGCCTAGGCAGTAGGCACCCGCGCGCGCGCTGCTGGCTGAGGGAGCCCTGTGCTGGGGGGTTCCCCCACACCTGCAGCCGTCCGCCTGTAACCCCACGACCTTGCGACGCCATCGAACCACACCGTTCCATGCCAGACCCTATTAACAGGCAGCAAGTGGTGAGTGTGTTCGGTTTTCACCACAATTGGTCCAATACCGTGCTGCGGTGAGAACGACACACACCGTACACCCCCGCCGAGCACCTTGGCCGATCGAAAACTGTGCCTAGGAAAGAAAAACGAAGATAAGACTCTCACCACTGCAGCTCCCCGCTGGCACCAAGTCGAGCGCCTTTTCTTCCAAAGATGTCCACACGCCAGCTAAAAAACAATGTGCCCCAGCAACAGGAAATGGAGTGAATTGTCCAAAATAAACAAAATGGTGCGCATTAGATCATCAGCCATTAAATCATCAGGCCATTGCTCGAACACATCCAGCCTTACAAAACCAACCAAGTGCACAAGCACACGCTCCAAAGCAGACTCCACACGCTATTCTTCTCAACAGCCATTCGCCAACCGACCCATACAGACCAAATCGCCAACCCATGTTGACCCAAGGCGAGACAGTCCACGCTACCACGCCAGGTATCAGATCCAACGCTTTCCCCCCTTCTTCAGCCTTCCGGCCAATCAACCAAGCAAGAGACCCCACATGGCCCTTTCGGGACCCTATCGCCTGTGTCACGCAGGTACGCGGCATACAATCAAAACATGTAATAAGGTAGAGCAAGAGCACTACTGTTGATGTGTTGTGTGTAGCTGCAGAGGGTTTCTTACGGCCGCCGGGCGACGGCCGGAATCCATGACATCGTTTGATTAACGATACGTCGCTTAGCAATATCACATCTTCATCTTGGATCCATCCTGCCAACCCTAAACCCACCACAAAACCATTTTAAAAATAATTACAATCCTTTCAAATCCCTCTTAGGTTACTTTGTGCCTACATATGCCGCCGGTTGCATGGCTGGAAGCGAGAGGTCATCAATTTTTCTACCTCGTGCCATACTCGTTAATACGTGCAACCAAACTCAGACACAAATCTCTACACGACATTCCCCCGACGCCAAAAAGCCATGTACGTCTCCTTATAACGTCCCCCTATATCTCCCTCCGCCCACTGTACGGCATCGTAGCTGCTTAATTGTGTCAAACAAGGGGGAAGCACCAAGCATGCCGCGACACGACACGTGCACCTCCCCCATCCATGTACTCGATGTACTCCAAGCCGCAATGTTCTGTCAGCCCCTCTGCCAGCCCCCCCTTACATTCTTTAAACAGAAATACCAGCCAAGTCCTTTCGAGGCTCGCGACGTATGCACGCCCAAACACGCATACACACATGCGGTGCGTGTGCGTGTGTGTGTGTGGTGCGGGGACCTTTCCGCTCGGCCAAAGGGGAGCAGTTGGTCGTGGGCTGCCTTCAAAGACATGCATGCACATACAGACGCACACGGCCGTTTCCGTTCCGAGTACGGTTAGGTGGCCCTGGCCAGTGTCAGGCCCGGATCGATATGTAACAAACACACACACCTCTCCCAAAACGTTGACCTATTACACAAACATACACACACAAATGAAAATTTCGGGTTTACATCCCCTTGTATCATTATCTGCGAGATGATGAGCCCGTCGTGATGAGCCCGTCGTGATGAGCCCGTCGTGATGAACCACTTTCGACCGCAAGCAACTAAACGGCAAACCTCCACCATTCAAACAGCCAAACATGAATAAGCAGCTCATTCTTTCTTAAGCACTGATTTTTGTTTTCCCTTATCTATCTGCCATCTTCTCTCTGTTTTCGGCTGTTGGGCCACAAAATCCTATTGCGGGCCGCGGGTTGACGCCGGGCCGCGCCAGAGTATGCATTTGTTTTTTCCGTCTCCCTAATATCGAACCACCCCTCTACTTCACACTCGTATGAAGACCATGTAATGCCATTTGCCAAGACATATGCATCACCGATTATGCGTAAAAACATACATACCTACAAACACAAACACAGAAAATTTGTTTGTCAAAGTCCGTGGACTATATTATAGTCGACATAAACAATATAGAGACAAGATCCTGGTCCTAACAACCCAACCCAACGTCCGGTCCTTGTCCGTCAGGCAAAGGAGCAAACCAAGCACCGTGTGTGTCAGTCAGCTCATGACGACGGTCGCACGTCGTGCCCGTGACATGGCCCCCCGCGAATCCGACTTTCGAGAGCTTTAATCCCACCATTCTGCCCCCCTTCCTCATACATACATACATACATACATACATACATACATACATACATACATACATACATACATATGTGCGTACGTATACATACCGAGGTACACCTCGTTCCCGAAAAGCGCCCTCCAAATCCATCCACCCATCACCCTTCCGCCCGCCTCTTCCTCTTCCTCAGGGAGTTCCTGCACCTCCGTCAGCAAACACAAGCGGGTCGACGCCGTTGCTGATGTTACCGCTGCTGTACTGCTGCTTACTACTGTTGAAGCTACTGCTGTCTTGTTGCTCGTCTGCGCTCTGCGCTTCAAAATGCATCGCAGTCTTCCACCGGCTGCAGCCAGCGGCGGCGGCGGCGGCGGCAGCGCCTAAATCCGCCGCGGCAGGATGCCCACTTCCCCTTCCGCCGCCGCCGGTACCGCCTGTACGGCACCTGCTGCCGTTGCCGCCGCCGCAGCGGCGGTGGCACGAGCATGCAGGTCCATCAGCGCCACAACCGCCATGCCCAGGATCACATTAGAAGCAGCGTACGCCAGCCACACGACCGCAGCGGGTACGCTGTCGTACAATATGACGTACAGCAGCGGCAGGCCGTATTCTGACATGAGCAGTGAGGCTCGGATGGGCGGCTCTACGTAGCCCTGCGAAAGAAACACGAAATATAAACACTTAAAAGATGTGAAGCAAACGATTGACGGGAAAACCTTCATGCTGAAGGAGCGAACGGAAAGAAAAGCTCCGTTGAATGCCACCACGACTCAGAGACTCACGAACTTAGCTGGATGGCGCCAGCCAAGAGACCGAAGGCTAATAGACATTACCATGGCTGAGGAACACACAATCAATATGTAGTAGTTGGAGGCTGCAGTCGCGGGAGGCAAAGGCCGCCCAAAACCCACCGCTTCCAACGCTGTGGGCGCCAACGTCATCAGCAGCATTCGCATGCTAGCCTCCGCCCCAGACATGCCCCGGCCGCCAGCCATCAACGTCAATAGCCCGCCGTGCCTGCTGCCGCTGCCAACGACGACGTTGGCGTTGCCGTTGGCTCCAGCAGCTGTCCTAAAACCGCCGCCGCCGCTGCCGTCGTCGTCGTCGGCCGCAGCGGTAGCGGCCGTGCGCCTTGCGCGCGACAGCTCGACCGCCGCCGCCAGGGACATCACGCAGGCGATCGTACGGCCCGCCGAGGTAAACACCGCGGGCAGCCACGGCAGCAGCGGCGGCCGCCAGCGCGGCGGCAACGGCAACAACAACGGCGGCAGCAGCGCAACCGCGGCGCTCAAGCAGCTTGTCAAGATCAGGCACACGGATGGCAGCCAGAGCAGCGCGCCAGGGATGGCAAGGAAAGACGCGGAAGGCAGCAGGTCCCGCGCGCGCGGCATAGCGAATAGGAGGACCCCGAGGGCCTGCGGCGGAGGCAGCGGAGGCGAGGTGGGGCGGCCACAACAGCGGTTCTCTGTGACATCATGTAATATTATTTTACAGTAAAAACAACAGCACTATTCGGGACGAGTCTACAGGACAGCAGCAGTTCTCTGGGGCTCCATGGGAGTGGCGCAGGGGGCGCCAGACATCATGAGGCGTATGGAGGCCCGTGAGGATGCGGGCACCCGAATATTGTTGATTGGGTGGTGTGGGAGGCTTCTGGGCCGATTGCACACATTACGCGTATATGTCCATGCCCACGTCCACGTGTGTATGTGTGGTGTGTATGTATGTGTGGTGTGGTCACTGATGCTACTATTTCTGCAGGAGGGAGACCTCGCGTACCTGCAAGGAGCCCAGCAGCACCTGCACCGCCGCCCACAGCGCCCAACGCAACAGCGGACGCCCGAGATTGACCGACCCGCCGGGTCGGCCTAAGATGCCCAAAGGCGTCGCCTGAGGCCACACCGGCGATGCTACTGCTGCTGCTGCTGCTGCTGCCGCCACAGCCGGGGTCCCGGTGCCCGACGGGACTGTCGACGCCCTAGCATGCTGGATGGCGGCGGTGGCGGTGGCGGCAGCGGCAGAGATGTGGGCGGACGACGACGACGACGACAAAGGAGGTTCCCGCAGATCCCCGCCCATTTGGAGAACACCGCTCTGCACTCGCTCCGCGGTGGCGGCAATAGCACCGCCGCTGCGGCGCCTCGGCAAGCGGCGGCTGGCGGCACCCAGCCGCTGTGCCTCTTCCCCAGTAGTACCGAGTTCTGATGTGCTGATGTGGGCGGCACCGCCGCCGCCAGCGCCGCCGCTGCTGATGATGCCGATGATGTCCGCAAGGGAACGGCGTGCAGAGGCTCCAGGGAGGAGCCACATGCCGCTGGCAGCTGGGGAGGTTGTTTCACTGCCGCCCTCCTGCACCGCCTGCAGGCCCCAACGACCAGGCGCCGCCGCGGATGCAGCTGCCGCCGCTTGCCCCTCCTCACTTGGCATTGGGGGCCCAAGAGCAAGCAGCAACGGCTCCACCGCAGCCGCAAACTCGGCCATCGCTGCTGCTGCCGGCGCCGCAGCTGGCTGCTCAGCCGCCGATGCCGGCGGTGAGGGCGGCGATAGCGATGGAAGATAAGCGATGGGCGGCAGGCCGGCTTTGTCCAGGAGGTTAAGCTCTGATATCGGCATGCCGTACTCCTGAGGCCACGTCACCAACAGCAATCGTACAACGGGCAACGAGCGAGACAATATCGCGAGGTGCAGCAGCGTGTGGCCTTGTTCGTTGCTGTTGCGACACGTGTCCAGGATGCATCGCAACCGCGCTGCACGCACCGACTGGCCGGTGTTCCGCGGCTGCGGCTGCGGCTGCGGTGCCGCCACCGACGCCTCCGCGGCTCCGAAGCCGCTGACTACCGACTGCAACCTGCCCAGCCCAGGGCCGCCGCCACTGCCCACCGACCTTGGCCAGGATGTAATCGTACCGCTCTGCACGGCTGCGGCAGTCGCAGTCGCAGTCGCTGAGCTAGCCGCGCCGACGCCGAGCGACGTCACAGGCAAAGCTTGTGGCCAGGAGACAAGCAGAAGCCCCATGATGAGGCGAGCCGTCGCCTCCGCGCCGCGAGCGACGGCGTATGCAAGCAGGTCGCAACCTAGGCAAAACACTTCCTCTGCAATGCGAGCGATCCGTTCATCCAGTAATACGTCAGAGCCGCTCATCACGGGGGACCCGGACGTCACGCGCTGCTGTGCGAACCGCGTCTGCTGCTGCTGCTGCTGCGGCTGCGGCGGCGGTGGCGTTGCCGCTGTCGCAGGCCCCCGCGCTCCTGGTAGCAGCGGCGGAGAAACTGCAGGAAGCCGTGTCGTGCCGAAGGACTGCGGGCCCCTGGCGCAAAAGGGCTTCATGTCCTCAATACGTTGTAGCAGGTCGCCTGGCGCCAGCGGTTCAGCGGCAGCCAGGCCACCCGGGCTCCTTGACGGTCCGGCTGACGCCGCCGCCGGCGCGACGGGGGCGCCGCCGGTGTTCGTCGTCGGTAGTGTGGGCAGCGGCGTCAATTGCCGAGCAACGGCGGCGGTGGCAGCACTGCCAACGCGCGATATGGGTCCAGAAGCGCGCCAGGGGCTGTTACTGGCGCCGCCGCCGCCGCCCGAGTTGCCGAAGCTGTAGCGGTGTTCCATGAGGTCGCCGTGCGCCGGGCTAGCGGTACCGGCCGCCGCCGCCGCAGCAGCAGCGGTCGGGGGACTGAATCCAGATCCAATGCCGATGGCCATGCCCGTTCCCGGACTGCTGGTACGACCAGAGGAGCTTCGCCTGGAGGGGTGGAAAAGCTGACGTGGCCTATACAGGAGGCCCAAGCTGCCGCTGGCTGCAGCGGCCGCGGGGATGCTACCGTTGCCATTGCCCATACCCCCAGTGGCGGAAGAAGAAGGCTGTGAGGATATCGTCGTCGTCGTCGCCGTGTACGACAGCGGCGCTGACGCATGAAGCGCCTCTAGCCATATGCCAAGGTCAGCCAGGAAGGCCTGGTACGACGACGACATCAGAAAGGTTTGGCCCGGCGGAGGCTGCAAAGCCTGCAGCTCCGAAGCCACGTCCTCCAGGCCGCAGGGCAGCAGCAGTAGCGGACAGGGAGGTCCCAAGGACTGCCCGCGCCGCCAGGCAACGTACACAAGCTGCGCCGCCGGCGCCGCTGACACGGCTGCAGCACCAGCGCCGCTGCTGCCGCCGCCTCCGCCGGTGGCGGAACCCGAGGACCCAGCGCGAGAGCTGTCAGCCGCGGTACGGGAATCATGCATGGAGTTGGTATTTAGGCCTGGACCCAGGCGGCCCAGGAGACGAGCTTCACTACCGCCGCCGCCGCCACCACTTCCGCCACTGCTGCCGTCACCGCCGCCAGTCCTTTCCAGCGTTACTAATGCCTCAGCCCACGCCCGGGCTCTGTTATCAGATGTGCGGGCCTGTAGCTGTTGCTCCCCTGGTGAGCTGGAGCTCGGCGACTGCGGCGGCGGCTGGAGCTCTGGATGTGCCGCTGGTGTCAGCGGCGGTGCTAGCGGCGGCGTCAGCAGCAGCGTGGCTCGGGTGCACCCCTCCGTGAAATCGTCCAGCTGCAGCAAGGGAATGACGCCGTTGCGGTTCCACGCAACCAACTGCGACACCTGACCCAAGTTCGAGGTGCTGTTGGTTTCGGAGCCGCTCTCCCCGCGGTCACCCTCACGCTCACCCCACGAGTTGCCGCCGCCGCACGGGTCGTCGATGACAGTGGCAGCTGCGGTGGCGGCGGCATCGACGCCGCTGGTGCTCCTGCCGCCGGCAGCAGCACCCTCGCGAGCTGATCCAACCGCGCGCTCCCCAGCGCTGTCCCCTATGCCGCCGGTGCCGGTCCCGCCGCCATGGCCGCGGCCTCGGGACCTAGAAGCAATCGCGTCAGGGCAGCGCATGACAATGCACAGCCCGCCAGCCGGCGAGTTAGACGACAATTCCATCTGTGTTGCAGCCCTTGTCCCTGTCCCTGTCTTTGCCCCTGTCGCCGCTGCCGCGATTGCCGACGGCCGTAGCGGCTGCAGCATCGCGGGGCGGGACGTCCCCACTTGACTCATCGCCTCCCCGGCACGATCCTCTTCTGCGACCTCTTGCCCCCCGATCTCAGGTTCCACCACTAGCGACGGTGGCCCTGCTGATGCCGTGCTCGCTGACGGCGCTGCCGCTGCAGCTGCCGCCGCAGACGCCGGTGTCGGCGTCGGCCAAATTGCTACTGCGGGGCTTAATAGCTCCACAGGCTGTGTGTGGGACTGGTTCTGCAGCCTCGCTACCGCCAGCGGTACTTGCGGGATTAGAAGACGAACCAGCGCGTCGGGTATCTCCACGCTCCCCGCCCCAAGCATGCTGCGGAGAGAGGTGCCGCTGCTCTGCTCGCCGTAGCCGCCGCCACCGTTGCCACCACCGAGGACCCGAACGGCGATGACGTTGGACACGCCACTGCTGTTGGGCTGCTGCCCTGGCTGCTGTTGCTGCTGCTGAGCCGTGGGGCTTATGGCAACATGGGGAACGAGCTGGGGGGGGCTGTGCGTCCGTAGGGATGGAGGGTAGGACGGGCCCAGCCAGCCGCCAGCCGCCGCCGCCGCCGCTTCTGCAGCACCGCCAGCTGGCGGCCTCATGTCGTCGATCAACGTCGGGCCCCAAGCGGAACGCGGAAACGTCAAGGTGGCTTGCACACTTGCCGTAGCCGTACTGCTGGCATTTGTGGGTGCGCTGGCTGCGGCTGCGGCCTCAATACCTGGTTGCGGTTGCCAAGCCGAAACCTCGCTCCGCACACCGACGCTGGAACTGGTGTTGCTGCCGCCCCTGATGCTACTGCTGTTGTCGGCCGCTGCCGCAGCCGTTCCCGCAACAGCCGCTTTATCGACGGGGTTCTGTACGTTGCTATCACTACGCCGATGGAGGCCAACAGCGCTGTATGGAACTCGACCAAGCTGCAAGGCGTCCGATGGAGCAGTAGCGGGCCGCAGAAGAGCCGTGTCAGGGAAGCACTCGCCACCGCTGCCGCCAGCCTGCAAAGCTGCATCCGCCATTGCCGCCGCCTCCGGGGGCCTGCTCGCCGTCAGCGCATCAAAACCTCCACCGAAACTACGGTTCTCATTGCTCCTGACCGGCTCTAGAGGGAGACCAAGATTGGTGCTCGCACCTGAGGCGGCGAGCATCCAGGAAGTGTACGGCGGGGCCTTCATGCGCCGTACACTCGTACCATCGTCGTATGCCGCGTGACCCAATGGATCGTGAGTTGCGCGGGTCTCCACGGCGAGAGCCGCCATGGAAGCCTCCCCGCCCCCACCAGCTGCCACGCGCTCCGAAACCAAACCCGGGATCTCAGCTGAGCTTGGCGGAGGCGAATTCGTTATTACACGGTGCCCAGCTAGTGCTGGGCCGGCTTCGCTTTGGATACTCCTGGGCTGCCGCTGCCGCTGTTGCTGGCCTCGTCCTGGTGCCGTCGACGTGGCTGCTGCTGCCGTCGCCGCCGCCGCCGCCACTGCAGGGAGCAATGCACTTGCTTCCACCTGGCCAGGCAGCTGCTGTTGATCTTGTTGCTGCTGCTGCTGTTCCTGCTCCTGCTGCGGCCGTGTGCACCCTGTCGGGTCTATGTCGTCGCCATCACGCATACCAAAGCTCCCACCGCCAGCACCAGCACCAGCAACACCACCGCCAATCACACTGTTGCTGCCACCGGCAGTCGATGCATGGCGTGCACCAGCACCAGCACCTTGCGAAACCGGCCACGCGACCCAGGAGCGCGTCATGGCATTCCCAGCGCCCGACGAGCCCCAAGTACCTCCGGAGCCCTCACCACCTGCAGAAACGGCTGTAAGCGTGGACGTCGATGCGACAGCAGACGTTCTGGAAGTTGTCGCCGCCATGGCCCTATCTGCCGCCTCAGCGGCTCCTTCCCCAAGGCCGGTCTGGGTACCGACCGTAGCCGACGCCGCGGCAGCATCGACATCAGTTCCTTCACCAGCAGCAGCGGCGGTTGCAGCAGTGTCTGAGCGCACGTGGGGTCGCAAGCGCTCCCCGTGTGCCCCGGATTGCCGCAAGCCTTGCTGCCCTTCGCTCCCACGCTGGTGTTGCTGCTGTCGCTGCCGTGGCGATGACGCCTCAGCGCTCTGTTGCTCTTCCTGTTCGGGCTGCTCCTGCACGGCATTACTACAGTCCAGCTCGTACGTGCGTCGGTTATGCCGTACAGTGACGTAGCCAGGGGCTGCGGCGCCGCCGTCGGGCAGGACTTCCCGCATGAAGGTCAGAAGGCGTGACGGCAGGGACGAGGTGGCGGCGGCGCCGCCAGATGCAGAGCCGATGCAGTGGCGGCGGAGTCGCTGCGCAGTGGGACCAACCAGTCCTGCGCCACGCCCCACATCCAGCAGCATCAACACAAGGTGGATGCAGCCCTGTCCCACGGCCATATGCAGTGGTGACATGCCGAGGTTCTCGGAGAGGAAGCCGCGGAGCCGTTCCGGGAAGTCCTGACTAGGCGCAAGGAGGGGAGGGGGGGTAAATATGTGGAGGACAGCCATTCGCCAGCAATCGAGAACGGATTAAAGCCGTAGCAAATGCTCTGGAGATTTGCATGCTTAGGTCGTGGGCTATGGTGATATACCACAGGAACGCTGATAACATGACTCGCAGGAAGACAGGGAGACGACCGGCCGACACGCAGTACCTCACTTTTCCGACCCCCAAAAACGCGTTACAGGACAGCATGGAGGCGAAGCAGAAAGAACAGGTAGGCGAGTATCCGGAAACCCACCTGGGGAAGGTCACAAAGGTGTGGACCCTCAACTTTCAACTCGACGGTGTGGAGCTTTGGGCATCTAAGGATCGGTCTGCTGCTCGAACGGCGCGACGAGCGGAGCATTGTCGTTTGGCCGTCTCCACGAAATCCAGCAACAGCAGATCGGGTGCGACGTGCATAGGCAGCCGGCGCCTGGGGTTGCTCGGCCACCACATCACGTGTCGAAGAGGGAAGCCCAGCTGGGAAAGCAGGTCCAGCCAACGATTGCCCAGCTTGTCTGTTGTCTTGATCCAAGCGAGCATCTACATCCCAACTTCTCTGCAGCAAATCATCCCCGTTGCCGCACTTGTCGGCCTGGTCAGCCATATTGCCTTGAGTCGTTCGGAACCAACTCAGATCCTGCACATGTAAATTTCTGGTAAATCGACAACAAAAAGTAAGCTTGGTATTATGTAGACTGGCCGGTCCGTATAGTTCCTAAACGTTAAGGAGGATAAGTGCAGCCGTTTGAGCAGCCGTTTGAAAAGCGTTCTCAAACAGGAGAACGCTAGATATTGAAAAATCGTTTGCTTTTGGTTAAGGTCCGGCACCGTACTGCTGTTAAAGCGTCAGGTAGTGATCACTCTGATGCCATGCGTGGTGTCCTGCATGAAATGCCTATGCACGGTACCATGTCATCAAATAGCTGGATAAGGATGTTGAAACATTTATTATAAGTTTTCCGGCATTTACACGCAGCGGCTGCAGCGGCTGCAGCCAATAATCACATGCCCATAAGCCAACAGAGCATTCCTGCATTTTCAGCAACAGTGCGTGAAGATGTTGCCGGAAGCCCGGTACTCGCTTCCCTTCTAGCTACCTTGGGAGGCAGCTGCAGCCTTACCACGCTATTCCGCGCCGTGCGAAGTATCAGCAAATGCAGGCGCCCTCAAAATTGTCTGTCCCCGAATTTGTTTGTAGCATTATGCCCTGGGGTCGTAGTTTGGGGGTTGTACTGTGGAAGTACCGTACGGGGATGTACAGCTATATGGAGAGCCATAGCTTTCGTTTAGGATAAAGAGTTACGGCATGAGCTCAGGTAGATTATACATTGGTCAACCGACACTACTGCTTGCGTTTGGCGTATACAACCCAGCTAATCCTCAACGCTGGACCACAAAGAAGCAATTACAGCGCGAATACATAGGGTTCTTTTAGCAAGCCTGGGGAGTCCTTAGCCATCCATGCGCAGCCATGTGCCAACAGACCTCTGCAGCGGCAAGCATATCCCTTACAATTACTGGCGCTGCAGCACAACCGCCACCTCATTATTATGAGCATTCCGTTAAATACGGTAATGACTAACATATCCTTATTACTATTACTTGTAACGCATAGGCGGAACAACTCCTGCCGTACTATCGTACGTCGTACTCCAACAAGAGTATATCCTTACTTTGGTTAGTTCCGTCTAGGCGGACATTTGGTTGTCAAGAACCAACTAGCCACTACACTTCGTATAATCGTTTCCGCTTCGTATTATCCGTATCCGCTGTTTCATTGATCTCTCTAACCACCCTAGCATTAACTGCCACGGCGTTTCTTTGCGGCCAAACCCTGCATGACACGTCACACAATCGGACAACAGCTCTGAACAACTGGGTGGCAGACAAACCTCCATGGAATGATAAAAAAGTTATCGATCTTCAATGCTTACTTAAGCAATGTTCGTAGGCAAGGAATACTGATTCCGTTTAAAGACGGCTTAGGGTTCCGTTTTAGGGGGCTTTCGGGGGCAGTAAAACGTCGATGTTTAAATTGAAAATGGCTACGCGTTTATATCGATCTTGTCTAGGCGCTAATATCTTGTCTAGGCGCTAATGTCAATGGTTGTGTTTGCAGAGGCACGGCTGGTGATCGATTAGCTTTACAGTACAATCTTGTTGGGTTTGGCAGCTAGCCAGGGAACCAGCCAGAAACTCTGACAGCAAGGCTTGGAACTAAGGCATACCAGCAGGCCAACCTAAATTCACACGCTCCGTAGCGGCAGGCGCAATCCTCCTCCGGGAACGTTTCCTGATGCCACCGCCTCACGTTCCGTTAGGCAACAAAACGCTGGGGTGATAAATTGTGTGTGTGTAATGTGGCGCCAGCTGCGCAGATGGGAGCACAAGAGGCCGAACACGTGGCGTGCAAGAGTACGGCCAAGTGCGTGGAGTACAAGTACAAGAGCACGGCCAAGTATATGGAGTACAAGTGTACGGCCATTCGGGACGTCTGAGCAGAGAATGCTTTGTTACATAACGTTTCAAGCATAATCTTTCATACATAATATTTCGTACATATGCTTTAAGCACAACGGCATGAAATGCACGTAACAGGAGAAGCAATGTGAGCTGGACCCCAAGCATTCGGGCACGTCACAGCAGATCCGAAAGCAACCGCGGCCGACCTGGCACAAGAGAAAGCGCAGCAGCCAAAGTTGCGACTCAACATTAGAGCTTCCTGAGCCACGAGGCAACGCTGGTAGCACTTCAATCAAATCCACAAGAAAACTATGGTTGCAAATCTGAAAGGGAAACGTCGCGCAAGGCAAGAAAAGACAACCTCTATGGACAGGCAACCGAGCCTAGGCCTTGCGAAACGTAAGAATTCTCAAACGCAAGTTTTGCTGCAAGTGCCATCGCGCAATTTCGGCCAACTACAACATACGGGCTTCAACGAATCCGAGCAAAAACAAAAAAGCAAAAACAACCTGCCCTTCATCTCTTCTTCAGCCACCCATCCCACTCTATTCTTCAGCTTCTGTCTACTTTACGACACATAAACTTGATACCAAAGGCAGGGCGCACGCCTCGACTAGCAGCCGTACATTAAAACGCCTGTCCCAAGGATCGACAGTTCCGTCGCTCTCAGGTAGATGCCGTCCGCTAGTCAAACGTCCTGCGGTACTCCGCGCCCACTAGCCGGCGCTGCTGCTCATTCTCAACTCCCTCCCGCCAAGCCAGACAGGCCGTTTCGCCATTTTTAGCCACGCAGCACGATCTTGGCGGGGCGGCCCTCGATGGCCTGGTCTCGGAGCGCTGCGGCCGCCTCCTCCAGCGGCCTCACGTCGGCTGTGGGTTGTTGGATGGCGCCCCCCAAAAAATATTCAGATACGGAGATAGTATTGTGAACACAACAACCGTGTATTTTCCGGGTATAAGAGTTCTTTACATTGCAGAACTTCAAAAGATCTCAAACAGAACCTCTACGAGCGACTATATATTAGGACTACCCCCCAGGAACAGGGCTACTGCCGGAAAGGGGGCCGCCCCGGCTGATAGTGCGGGAGGACAAGGCGGAAGGGCAGGAATTACGACTGTACGCCTTCCGGCTTTAGCCATGGGCCCAGGCCCACAAAACTAGGTTTCTCGGCACGATGTCGGACGAGCAACGTTATGAGTCGATAAAAAAAGAACAGCGCTTATCAATGACCCCATGAGAGCAATCAAGGTCTCCGCCCACCTAGGAAAGAGCGCATGCAGCATGTACACACATACAAATCCACACATCCCAGACGAAGAAAGAACATGTTTGAGGAGCCCTTGCGCCATCTATAGTTACCTCGGGGGAATGTGGGGAAACGAATATGGCTGTGGATTTGAGAGATGGTGGGGATCAGAGCAGGAAATACGTGGAGGAGGCCGGGTAAAATAAAGCTCCATCCATCCTCAACGTTGCCTTCCCTTCCAGGCATTCCGCATTGTGCTTGCATTCGGGCCGTGTTATTACCCGAATTGGTCCAACTCACTTTTCATCGGAGGCAGCAGTCCCGAGCGCATGTGTTCCAGTACATCCGTCAGCACACGGCGCTGCTCCTCCGCGGGTTTAGCAGCCAGCCAAGGAACCAGCCAGAAACCCTGACAGCAAGACGAGGGGTGGGCGTCATGGGGGGAATATAGAATTCGATGAATGGGGGCGATAGCAAGACGAAGGGGTTGTCGGGGAGGCAAGGACGGTGATGAGGAGGATGTCGGATGGTTTGGTGGGCTTGGGCACAGAGGAAATGGAGGAAAGGTTGCAGCACATGTATGTTCTGAACTAAACCACGAAAAAGGGGATCGCGAATTTGCAGATGACTCGCCTGTCCACCCAAGCATCCAACCAGCCATAGCTTGGCGGAAGCCGTCGCTACAGAATGTTGTTTATGTCCGCCTGATAACGGAGCACAACGCCGACCGTTATCACACACACCCCACACACGCGCACCTTGAGGGCAACACCGCGGAAGAGGCACTGCCCCACATTCCAATCCACATTCGGACCGCTCATGGCGCCGTACACAATGATTGTACCGCCTTCCCGTACAGCCGGGGCGATCTTGGCGGGTGTGGAGCCGGCGATGGAGTCCAGGGCTCCCCACGCTCCCCGGCCGCCAGTCAGCTCCGAAACCCTAGCCACCAGCGCGTCCGCGTCAGCACCCAGAACCACCGCGTCGTACGCGCTGAGAAGGACGAGGCGGCGGCACCACACGAAGCGACAAGTGGGTCGGGTCAGGACTAAATAAGGGGGGATGTGAGGAGGGGAGGAATCACAAATAAGGGAGAGGGGGGGAAGTAGACGGAGCTGAGGTGAGGTGAGGTAGTTATAAATGAGACGCTTTACGACGACAAGCAACCCCACGACGACGATCTTGGGAAAAGGCCCGCACGCGGGAATGTTCGTGCATGTTGGACGCAGTAGCCGCCGGCTGTTGCCTTGGTCATGAAGTTCAGGTTCTTTTGGGCTCAAATTCCATTCCTTTCAGCTAACAGCTGAACGGCGCCAGGGCATTCATACCGGTTGTGGAAGCCGTCAAAAAGTTGTGATCGCTTTAAACGCGCCTCGCAATGAACCCGGTATCCAACCCAGTATCCATCCCAGCTATCAGCTCTCCCCCATTCAAATCATACTCTCCCTTTGTGCCCCGCCAAACAGCCTCCCCGTGACCTCCCACACTCCTCCCTCTCTCCTCCTGTCCCTACCCGGCTACCCCTCCTCGCCTCTCATGTCTCATATGCCCCCTTATTCCTTCACCTACCCCGCCTGCTTGAGCTCCTCCACCTGCTCCTCCCGACGGCATGTGGCCACCACCTTGACCCCTCGGGTACTGGCGTAGCGGAGGAACATGCGACCCAACGCGGAACCGGCGGCGGTGAAGATAACCACCTCGCCTGGAAGGAGAGGAGAGGAGAGGAGAGGTGAGGTGAGGCAGAGGGGAAAATGACACAAGCAAAAAGCCAAAGAGGAAAGGGGTGAAGGTCGGGGCGGGCGGGGTCAGAGCGCGGGGATACAAAGGATATGCGTCACGAATCAGTTGCACAGGTCCCGACAAGGAAACCCTGAAAAATTCATATACACTAGCAATCTCCCGCAGGTGCCTTGTCCGAACATGTCGTAGCCTAGTGGTATCTGGGCCAGTTGGAAGTAAGAAGGGTGAAGGAGAAAGGAAGACGGCAGCTGACGTACGCTCTCCCAAGCACGTAATTGTTTATTAAATCACTCCTCGGCTCTCACTCCCCGGCCAAGAAAAGGAAGCGTTTTGCGCGCATCCACATCACCTCCGGTAACGCAGGCGCAGGCGAAGTCGTTTGCCCCTCTCGTCTCCGGCGGAGAAGTTGCCCTGCCCAAGGATGAGGACTGCAGATCCCACGTGCCTCCCCGGGCTCCCGGCCCTCGCTAAGCTCATGCCCCTCATTTTTCAAGTTTATTTTCGTTTGCCCTCTTCTCAACAATTCCTGGGCTATTCAAGTTGCATCTGGTTTGGATCACGCGGCATAAACGTTGATTCAGCCGTTTTATCTGAATGGCTCAATTGCTTTCCTCGCAACGACGCCGCTCACGTGCTTCGCCGACGTCAGCTAACCCCCTTAGTAGTATTTGCCTCCCTCACAGCTCAAACAACCAGCGCACCCAACCTCTACTTGGGGGCCCCACGTTGAATTTCTTACTCCGGTAAATATCCAAACCCAACCAACCCAACTTTTTCCCAATCTCCCCTCCAGGCCTTCCCCCGCCGACTCACCTTCGGGCACGGCCAGTTCCTCCATCATGCCAATGACGGGTACCGGGTTAATGAGCGCCTGGCAGGCCGCGTCGTCCGGCAGGTCGTCGGGAACTGGGACCTGGATGGCCGGAGAGGGGAGCGGGAAAAGGGGGGGGATGTGGAATGTACATGGCAGACAGCGCTGCAGTTCACGGTGGTCGTCACCAACAGACTAAGGAGGTCAGACCAACAGACTAAGCGAGGGGCCCTAGGCAGCAAGGAGCTCCTGCGCTCCTCCGAGCTCTCCGAAGCGCGTCCAGATCTGGGTTAGCACTTGGCACACACGCACACACACACACAGCCATGCACATATACCCACAGCCACGCGCATACATACACACACACATATACACATACAGCCACGCACATATACGCACAGCCAGGCACCTATACACACAGCCACGCCCATGTACACACACATGAAACCACGTCGAAAGAGAAAGACCCAAATCGCACAACGCGCACACGGACACATAGAATCCTGGGGTAGGCGCGCGCAATCCGATTAATCCCCCTGCCCTTCCTCTCGGCCCCAATGCGAAGCCGCACGCACCAGGTCTTCCTCTGCTGCCAGCACGTACTGCTGCCAGGTGCCCCGACCTTCCACCGCACCGCGCCACTGGGTAGCTACAACTCGCTGACCAACGGACAGACGACCGCTGACGTTAGGGCCCAGAGCAGCCACCTCGCCAGCGCCTACAGTAAGCGGTGGGAGCAGCACGGGAGGTGTAAGTTGGTTTAAAAGAGGGGAGTGTGCAGATGAGGAAATATGAAACATTTCCTGTCTTGCAGTAAGGTGACGGGAAAAAATACCAAGTGTCCCAAGTAAGTCCACGTCGCTGCTAGACGTGAAGGTTATGACGGATTGAGGAGCTACTCACCTTCAAGGCCAGGCACCGCCGGGAAGTCCTTGGGTTTGTAACCAGGGTAAACCTGCATTAAGATCACCATAATTCCTTAATCAGAGGTGCGAATTTGCCTGCTTCCTTCCTAGCATCGATTTCCCCTGATTCTTAACCTACCCCGATAACGGAAAAGACATCGCTGGGGTTCACAGGGCGGGCAGTTATCCGAACAAGCACCTCCCCAGCACCAGGTGATGGTACAGGCAGCTGGCCCACGGTGATGTTGTCGATGCCGAAGGCCGAGAGCTGCGAAAACAACAAGCACATGGCTGCCGATCAAACCTTCGGCTTGCAAGCAAATCCGAGCTCTATCTATAGCAAGTTCAAAGTTGATGATCAGATTACATAGACAATAATAAGTGCAGGAAAAGAAGGATAACTTATTACATCAGCACACCTGGATAGCCGTCTGAGTTTCCGGAATCGATGCCATTCTTTTTGATGTCAGATACTTAAATTTTACCGTCAAGAAGTATAACTTGGATCACAGTTGAAACGGCGGCATTTGTACTTTGACGACGGACAAACACCGTTCCAGAACTTTACGTAACCGTACGAAATGGCCTTGGCGCCTGGCACGCAACTAGTACTTATGCAATGAATGGATGGAGATAAAAAAACACATTAGACCGCTGAAGACCTAATTACAATCAAGTTAATAGGTATCTCGTGCGAAATGTTCCGCTCCAAGATCAAAGTACATCAATACCGTAATACGGTATGCGTGAATGTGTGCATGTCGACAGGTTGTCGGATGGATGGGACTTGCTGCTGACGGGGCTATGTCAACTTATAAATTGTTGGGGAAAAAAGCGGTGAACGCGACAGGAAGGCGCAATCCCGCGTCCAGTCCTGTTGCAGCATTGTGTTTCCCAACCTTGTTCTCCGCATGGAATTCTATCCTCGAGAATCAATTTCTATGTGGTTTTATAATGTGGCTTTTGCTGATGCAGGTAATCACCAGAATGTAAGAGGAAGGCTGCAATAAGCAAGAGATCGGTAATCCAAGCCTTACGATAAAAGACGGAAGAAGCATGACCAGTCACGGATGGACTTGCCTACCCTGTCCGTGTTTCTGCTTTCTTTCGTCAGGAGGCTCAGAGGACCCTTCCCTTGTGGCAGCCTTGCTTATACATCCTGGCGGGTAAATTGGTGGCCTGCATTGCATGGCCCCCTCCAAGACACAAACTTCACCGCTGTAATGGAAGCACCATCATCAGGCCTTGGGCTATGTTCGCACTTCGCAGGCGAAGCTAGCTACCTGGCTAGAGGAAGTAACTACGAAACATGGATTCATACTCACTCAGTGTAACAGCTGAACATAGTACGACACAGACATCGTCGATAATTATTTGCAAAAGCGCCCCACCAGCATCTTTAGAGGCCTTTCCAGCGGCCAGCTACTACACTAAGGCGATCTTCGGGGAACACAATCGAGTAACCCGCAACATAGCTGAAACCTAGAAACGAGCGGACGGCGATCCTCCACCCAAGAAACGCTTCCTCAAAATGTAGCAAGCTGCACGAGATCCTACCAAGCACGCTTCGGGGAAGACATAAACACTAGCCACACTGTTTGTTGCCAGCCAGGGTGCGAGCAGCCCCCGACACATCCACAGGTATGGGGTCACGCACCCCCAATCATATAACACACACATACACAGGCGGCTGGCAGAGGTTAAGGCCTGACTTCTGCTCCCGACCGACCCGGGTTCAAATCCGCCTGCCGATTCCTCGGGTGTTTGAGGAGTGTAATGGGAGGTGGCCCCCCATCATATGGACGATGTAGGCCGTGGTAAAATCAACTTGCGAGCTGACCAGGAACCAAGTTGATGCGCCGTTGATCCGCTAGATTTGGCTGAATGCTGGTGGTGAGTTGCCGAACCCAACGAATAATTTCTGAAGTCGGATGGGGTGACGGATTAGGGTGCCCCTCTAGCAGGGGAGAGCAGGGACTGCCTGGGAAAGGGGCTGCTGGCGAAGTTAACCACCCTGTAACAACATACATACTCACATTATGGCTAGCTGCTGAGATGTGGAGTTAAGGTCATAGTTGACGGACCGAGATTCGCACGCTGGATTGGTGGCCATTGCTGAACTGTAGCAGCCGGTACACAGTACGGCTCTATAAGTACACGTGTAGCACGACCACCAGCATCTCTGCTACATGAACCCTCTGTCTCTGCGGATGTTCGGGTGACTGCATGAGGAGGGATCCTACAAGGCAGGATCACCGCCTTGGACTTGCAGTTCGTATGGCGTAGTACAGTGTGGTAATTGTGGATGGTGCTGTATGGTGTGATAAATCGTAGAAATGGCAATGTGTTCAAGTGGCCCAGAAGCCTCCCGCTCTGTAACAACATTTTCCTAACAACATCCACACTGAACCCACTGCCGAGGAGGGACATACCCATCACGACTTCAGAAAAGTAACAATCGGCGGATGCAGATCCCCTGATAAGCCCGGAATACAACATTTATCCTCCTCTAGCAGCAGAGGTTATCCTCGACCTTAGTCTACCACAGGGTCCCTGTGTGGATGCTGCCACCTCCCATCAGGATGACCAGCAATTGCGGGGCCCGTCACCTCCCGCCCTCTCCCGATTAGCAGAAATCGCTTCAGATGAGATTTAGACCAGAGAGTCAGAACAGAAGAGGGAAACCTGCGCTCGATACCAATTGTTACATCACAACTTCAGGAAAGTACCGATCGGTGGATGCAGATCCCGCGTTATGCCCAAAATACAACACACCCTCGTCCTAAGTTGGGCATTGGGATGGGCAACAGCCCACCGACACAAAGCAACTAAATATCACTTCATGTATCCCGCGGTCAGCGAATCGTAAGCTTATGCAGTTTAGGCTTTGCTGTTGGGCGGTGGCGGCGAACAGAGCACGCAAAGGACGGTGTTACATACCTTAGGGAAGAGCGGATATGCCCCTGCTGCGGCACTGATAGCCATATCTGTAACATCAGGCAAAGAGTACCCAGGGAGATGACTCAGGGAGCTGAACCCTTCTTACATTCCTCCCTCCTCGAGCGAACGTCCTCGGGCGCCCCCGGGCATATCCCATAGGAATTTTTGGTTACTTGAGATCCCGGAGGATTGTGAGTTTGCTTGATAATATGACATATAACCCGTTGTGAAACACATTCTGACGACACCGTAGATACCAGCATTGTACTGACGCCTCATAATTGCGCCGCGCTGTGAAGCAAGGCATTTCACGTTTATATGTAATACGCGCATATGTATACTCGGGTACACGCGGATTTTCCTTAAAACTTAAGTCCTTCCTAATTCCTGCTTCCGACTCAGCGTATGTTGATGAGCTGTACAGCATCAGCACTCACATATGCGATATCGTGGGAAGGACATGGCAGTCCAGTTGCAACCCGTCCACCCATCGCAGCTGGCGCTGCCCGATGGCGTACCTTAAATGGCTGAACGCTATCTCGTGGGTTGCGGTCATTATACATCCGTTGTTAAGCTCCCTTTGCAATTAAGGTCATATCTTCTGTATGTAGTAAAAGTTGGAAAAGTCTCTAAGCATCCCCAAGCCGCAGGGGTAGAAGAGGTCTTCTATCGTGAAAAGCATAAACTTAACATGAAGGCCTGGCATATGGGAACGTGCGCTGACAAAATAAGTAGGCAATTACAGTTCACGCAACGAGATACGTTTGAGGCGGATATGATGAACCTCAAGGTTAGTTTCTTAGGCAAATTATCCAGGATATAAAACATAACCAAACGTCGTTGAGTGTGTTATTTCGCGGCTTAGGGGGAAGGTAGCGAAAACTCCATAGGCATGCTTCTTGCCAGCTACAGCAACAGTGGAACCGCCCCTTCCGGCACAAGCATTCAGTGTTTTAGAAAGTAAATAATGTGAAGACCTTACTTCCTGCCGACGTCATCGAGACCAAATGGAGAAAGAGCTTTCCACATCCGTACATCATATACAGACATGACAAAGGACATCGACTTCACAGCTTTTTGCCAAGGGAGTATGCACAATGTATTGAGTGGCGGCTTTACATTGCAAAGATAGGCGCATAAGCGGACCTTGCTGCGAGTTCAGGCATGGCAGGACGCTTTGTGCGTCATAGTTGTCAAAACGCAGCTAGCCTCATGCGCAGGGATCAGTACTGATATCTCATATCGTCTCATTTGTTTGCGTGCCTCCAAATTTAATACTTTGCACAGGCTGGATAACTCGCGTAGATAGTCCTGCTGCAGCTTGGACCCGAGCCTTTCCGCAGAGGTTAATCTTTTAAGTTACCACGTCTTAACGTATATCGGTAAATCCCTGTCACCAAAGAACCGCTCGATCAAGAACCTGCTGCTACTTGGAATCAACCGTCGAACCTTGCCAGCTATCAAGTTGCCCCAAGCCACACGCAGCGCTAGGCCATTCCCGGCTTGCATCAACAGCAATAAAACTCCCCTTCCATGCTGCCGTTGGGACAACATCCTTCTCATCCCTTGCCTCCAAACCAGCAGCCTGATGCGGGGCCGATGCTGCTGCCTACTCCTTCCCTGTCTCCAAACCAGCAGCAGCAACAACAAACGCTTCCCCAGCCACTTCCCCAGCAATTTCAGCCTCAGCCTCAACCACACCAGCTCCTAGGTGGACAGGGCCCACATGGAACTCTCCAGGGAGAGGTCCCAGATATCTATACCAGCAGCTTCTCAGCCATGGGAATGCCCGCCATCCCGGGAGCACCACAACTACAACAGCCTCAACCACCTGCCAGCGGCAGGACCTTCGGCAACATCTTTCCCCAGCGACAAAATCTCAAGCCAGCATCAGGCACGCCGTCGCTACCCCAGCAGCCGCAGCAACGTGTATTTCCTTCTCCGCCGCCGCCGCCGCCGCCATCACGACCTCCTGTAGGAGCGAAGTTAACGCTGCCGGCCGCTGCCGCCCCTGTCGAAGACGTGCTGCCGCCTTCGCGCGACATGCAGCCGTTACAGGAGTTTGTCGGAGGCAATTGGCTGTTCGTGGTGTTCCTGCCGTACTTTATTGCTACGGCACTCCAGGACACGCATCTGCGCATCGGTCTCATCATTGGCGCGGCGGGCTCCGGTGTGGTGTTCATGGCTGGGCTGCTGGTGTATGCTCTTAACATGCGAAAGGCAAGCTGTGCGATCCGCGGGTTTCGAGGGGGGGATCTATGTATCGATGTGGTGCGATTCCTGCAATAGTGGACGAGATATGCTTTTTTTCCTCTTCCCACGTCTTTCAAGTCGCTCCCTAGCTCCTAATCTTTGATGTGAGTTGCGGTTCAGCGGAGAGTTATGTCTTGAGCAAAGCAGTCAGGCGGAATTCAATTGTGCCGCGTGCTGTCTGCTGCAACTTTGCTAACAAACTCATCACTGCGCGGTCCTATCCTTTTCGGTGATTTACCTGCCACGTCATGTCCTGAGGCTGTCACACTGGACTTACAGCTGTTTGGGAGTGTGTTGTGGAGGGAAATACGCCGCCAACAGACCCCTTCATCATAGCAACTACCCTTGCCAACCAACTCACCAACCATTCAAGACCCAACCGGCAACCACCTAACTACCTGAGCATGCTCCCGTGGTTGCTCTCAATACCAGGTGTTTCCCCATATCTTGGAGATGCTCATGCCCATCATCTTCGTCGTACAGCTGGGCGTGTCGTACCATAGTACAGCTTATGAGGAGGAAATCATCCGTACCTACCCCTTCATCACGCACTCGGCACTTGCAGGAGTCTGCCTGGTGCGCAACCTTTGCGGATTTACTTTCGACAATTTCAAAGAGTAGCGAATTACATGGCGGGCTGTTCTGCTGTACTGCAGTATGGATTTAGCCTGGTACGATTAGATGAGATGGACCAGGCTTGCTCGGGATGTTTTAAAGGATGCATTCAACAATTCGGAGCGTCAGTTAGTATTGTTTCAGCATGTGTGCGTGTATCTCAACGATCTTCGGAGCCGCGATGAGGAAAATGCCGATGCATGGTGGTACACGAGGACACCTTCATACCGAAGCGTGCTCTTTAGTCTGTGTTCCCGCCGCCCACTCCCTTAAGCCTGTCTGCTTATCCGCCTGTTTGTCCGTCTGCCTGTCTGTTCTTCGTCTGTTTGTATGTTTGTATGTCTGGTCTGCGTGCAGGTCTCCATGATAATTTGCTACCCAGTGGGCTACCAGATAGCCCAGGAGCTCGTACACAAGATGTACATGACCAACCCTGCCGTACATCGCGTTGGGCTGTATACAACTGCCGTACTTACAGCCTCGTTGGTATCGTCGTGCCTGCTGTACCTGGTAGGGCTGTTGCCTTGTGTCAATTCTTGGGATCTGTTTTGTTATGTGGGACTGTTATGTGAGGCACAGCTACTTTGAGACACGACATTCCCCTCGCGACATAACCCCAGGTCGACCCCCAGGTCGACCGGTTGGGTACTGTGCTGGCATTAGGCAATAAACTGTGGGAGGAAAGAGACGGAAAATGGGAGGAAAGTGGGAGAATGGGGAAAATGGGGGAAAATGGGAGAAAATGGGAGGAAAATGACGGAGGAGAACTGGGTGTTTGAAGGAGACATACAAACAGACTTGAAAAGCGTGTCCCTCCGCTTGTTGGTCACCCTCCGCTTTCTTATGTACTATGTACGACATCCCTTCCTCGTGTCGAAAGCGCCTCACCATCCGCATCATCATCCGTGTCATATCCCACATCCGTACACACGACCACGCATCTGCGATATGCATGCAGCAGACCGGTCTGCGGCTGCATATCGCAGATGCATGCAGCAGATGCATGCAGCAGATGCATGCATGCAGCAGATGCATGCAGCAGATGCATGCAGCAGATGCATGCAGCAGATGCATGCAGCAGATGCATGCAGCAGATGCATGCAGCAGATGCATGCGGCAGATGCATGCAGCAGATGCATGCGGCAGATGCATGCAGCAGATGCATGCAGCAGATGCATGCGGCAGATGCATGCGGCAGATGCATGCGGCAGATGCATGCAGCAGATGCATGCGGCAGATGCATGCAGCAGATGCATGCAGCAGATGCATGCAGCAGATGCATGCAGCAGATGCATGCAGCAGATGCATGCAGCAGATGCATGCGGCAGATGCATGCAGCAGACCGGTCTGCGGCTTCCCCGGCCTTCCCCCACCTGCTGCCTCCGGGCCCCGGCGTCCCCCTCCCCCGCAGGCGCCCGTTTGTAAGGGTTACGATGACCGGCACTTCAACGCCCTCAACGTCATCTTTCGCCTCATCTACCCCTGCCTCGCCACCTTCCTGGCGCTCCTGTTCATGCGCTTCTTTCCGGACGTCTACCTGCCCAATTTTTCTGTGGTACATGGCCTCAACCGAAAACCGCCAAACGTGCGTGTTTTTTGTGGCGCGTGGGGAGCTTGGGCTGGCCTCGGGATGGGCAGGGGGGAGCTTGGGGATGGAATGGAGTAGGAATCGATTTGGGGTTTAGTTTCGAGAAATGGTTGTGGTAGGGGCTGCGGTTTTGGCTCGTGTGAGTTCCTGGTTTCCTGGGTGGCTGGCTGGGTGGCTGGCTGGGTGGCTGGGTGAGTGAGTGAATGACGAATGAATGAATTGCGATATTTTCTTGCATTGGATCTCTAGGAAAACGCGCAATTCATTCATTCATGCGCCAAGTCACGTAACACTCATTACTGGATTCCAAGAAAGGAGGTTGACCAGTGGCTCCACAGCCGCGCCGGCCCTCCGGCGCCCTGCCTGCCCGCCTGCCTTCTCTTTTCGCCCTGCCTGCCTATACCTAACTTTCACCTTCCTGCTTACTTGTGTCCCCCCCTTTTCTTTTCTTCCTCCCCCTCCTCCCCATCCCCTCCTCCCTCCCCCTCCTCCTTCGTCCTCCTCCCCTCTCCTCCCCTCTCCTTCCCTCTCCTCAACCCCCCTCCTCCCCTCTCCTCAACCCCCCTCCCCCCCTCTCCTCCACCCCCCTCCTCCACCCTCCTCAACCCCCCTCAACCCCTCTCCTCAACCCCACTCCTCCACCCCCCTCCACCCCCCTCCCCCTCCTCCCTCCGAGCACAGCGTGTTCCGATCTACTTGGTGGACCCCAGGAACCGCACACCGCCAGCCATACTGGATGCGAGCATGTGGGTGCGGGTTGAGGGGTCGGGTGTGTGGGGCCGGAACGGAGCTGGCAGTGTGTACGTGCATGTGCGTGTGTGTGTGTGTGTGTTTTGGAGGGGAAAACAAGAGAGGGGGGGGGAGTGGAGGGCGGGTCATGTGGCCCGTGGCACTGACATTATTGGAGCACTCCAGTTTACCTACCGGGCGGGCGTTACGCAGCCTGCTGCCGCCGTCACAACCTGCCTTGCTGTGCGCACGTATGTATGTATGGGGGCGTGTGCATGGGGGAATCGTACGACTGTACGATGCAGGAAACACGAATCAATTGCCGACGTCCCCTTGTGTGGGTGGATGGATGTGTGAGCTAGGCGAGGCTATAGGAATGTTTGTTCTTCCAGAACTACAGCGCCCGATCTGCGTGACTTGATTTACACTGTTTGAATGTGAACGGACTCAATCCGACTCGACCCGACGAATCATCCACACCACCCGCAACTGTCGAGGGGCCAATGTGCCTCACACCACATCCTCGCAACACCCTAACAGGTTTCAAACCACGGTCGACGCGGTCGCCAAAGCCCGTGAGGCCGCGCGAGAGGCGGCACTTGTCCTCCCTGGACGTGGGCCCCCGTACCCCTCCTCACCCACCGCACCGCCAGCGCCCCTGACCCCCCGCTACAGCCCCGGGGGCTACAGCCCGGGCGGTACGGCAGGTATGGTGCCGTACCCGTCGGCTGGGCATGGAATCGGTACGGGGGCTGACGGCGTGTACGGCAGCGGCGGCGTTGGCGGTGGGATTCCGCGGGTTGTTCCCGGCGGCGATGGCGAGCCGCATTCTGTGTATACTTACTATGCTGCGGGTGAGTGCCGACTGGGGGAGAGGGGGGCCTCGGGTGATTTTTTGGGGGGCCGTGTACGAAGGCCTGCTGAGTTGACAAGGTTCGTATGCAGTACAGTACGGGATTACCGCATCGTCAGGTAGCGGTTTCACTTTCCTGGTTGACACAAGTGAGGGAGTTACCGAGATTTCCAGCTTTTGACAACGTTTTTGACAACTTTTTTTGACAACTTTTGCCAACACATTTGTCATGCTTTCGTCTCAAATCAGCGTGAAGCGGTTTACGTGTTAATGTTGGAAGAGATATTATTGAATGCCGTCGTCCACCTCGGCGCCGCCATTACATTGATCGTCGTTGCGATTGTGTGCGTACGTATTTACATGCGTGTGCCTGTACTGCACGTGGACAGTGCGCGCGTGGGATCATCGAAGTTGTACGGGACTCGAAAGGTGCCGTACGCACCCATCTCGCCCCACTCGGAGGTCCTCTAACCCCCGGGGGGTAGGGGGGGCTCGCGACATTTGTCGACATGTTGCAGTAACGCCTCCGCCGCACCCATTGCCCCCTCCCCTCCTCCTGCTGCTGCTGACGATGATGATGGTGACAATGATGCTGACGATGCTGCTGCTGCTGACGATGCTGCTGCTGCTGCTGCTGTTGTTTTCGGCTGGATTTTCTGTCCGACAGGGCCCCCTGCAAAGCCGCCGCTTGCCGTGTACGCCGTGTACGGAGATTACGACGCTCTGCCGGCACAGTACACTGGTGTTTCCTCCACAGCCGGACTGATGCCGTACAATAGCAGACCTGTTGACAGCTACGGGTTCGGGACGCATGACCGCTATCACCACAACAACATGCTCCATCAACAACAACAACAGCAGCAGCAGCAGCAGCAACGTTACTTGTACGGCAGTGCTGGCGGCGGCCGCGGTGCACTTGTCCACCACCCTAGGCACCAGCTCGCCGGCTCTGGGCCGGATTCAGGGCCGTACGGAGTTAACCTCCCCCTGCGCAGCCTGGCTGCTGACCGCTTGGCTGATGATGACTACGCGCCTGTTCACTTGCCACCACTACCACCACCACCACCACTTCGGCAGCATCTCGACGCCATCGTAACGCCCCTGGGGACCCCGGACACCCGGGCGCCCAGCGGCGGCGGCGGCGGCGGCTACTACGCAGCTAACGAAGTGTTGGGCCCAACAGGAGGAGCAGGAAGAGGAGGAGGAGGAGGTCTTTTTGAAACTTCTTATTATCCGGAGGGTCTGCCGCACACCGCAGCGGCGTCCACGCCTCGGTACCGACTGGGGTCGCAACAGCAACAGTACCAGCATCAGCAACAGCGGCAGTACCAGCAGCAGGCGCGTCTTGCCCCTGGTTACTTGGGGCCTGCAGGAGGGGGAGGAGGCGGAGGAGGAGCACCTGCTGCAGCGGGGACACAAGCAGCCGGCGCGGGGGCGGATTGGACCGGATCAGGCGTTGTTTTTCCACCGCCGCTATTCCCGCCGGGTGCTGATGCTGCACAAGGTAGCGCCGCGGGGTACGGCCTTGAAGCCGAGCAGCTGCAATACGATGTACAGCAGTCGTATCAGCCGTACGGCGGTATGCAGGTGCCGCAGGAAGTCATCGGCATGGTCGACCGGCAGCAGCAGGTGTCGTACCAGGATGACGGGTACGGTTTGGCGGCGGAGACGGAAGTTGCGGAGTCGCCGCTGCCGCTGCCGCTGCCGCTGCCGCCGCCTCCTCCGCAGCCGCTGCCGCGGGCATCCGTACGGGTGTCCGAAAGCCGACCGAACCGGTCACGATCGCCGCTGGGCATTCAACGCACCAGCAGGCTCGCAGCAGCTGCCGCTCCTTTGGGGAGTAGGAGGGAGGAGAGCTTCGGCCTGGACGCCGAACTGGGGGGGTAGCTCCCTATAGCCTCCACAGCAACCCACGGACACACTTCCAACTTCAACAGGATTGTATGAATGTATGTACGTTTGTATGTATATATATGTTGTCGTACTTGAGCGTCGGCGCACGTGTGTGGGCCCTCTACTCCGGCTCTGGGGCTCGCTCTCACAACTGTACGGCAACTCTGCCGTAAATCTCTCGGACCCGGTTGCGGTTGTTTTGCTGAGTGGCTGGATGACCGGATATGACCGGATATGACCGGACAGAAGAACGGTTTGATTGGTGGATGGAGTGGATACAATTGTTGAGCGGCCGATGCAGGCAGTGATGGGCAGGAGGAGGGCATGGTGATGTTGACAGTTGATGGTGGTGGTGAGTGGGGATGTGGGGGATGTGGGGGAACGGAGCAGGCAGGCAGTTACGGGTGGGCAGGAGGGGGGGAATGGATGGATGGTACCGTAGGTGCCGCTGCAGAAGGACAGGGTACTCCGGGACTACTGGAAACATGTTTTTGATGGGGCGCAGGAAGGGGGGTTTAGCAGGAGGGGGGGAGTAGCAGGAGGGGGGATGGGTGTTGAAAAATCCGAATGATTGCAGAGATGCTGACCGACCCACTTGTTAATCTGCACATTGGTGATCAGACGGGGGCAGATCCGACTGTTGACTGACTTTCGACCTGATGCAGAATTTTAATTATGGCAAACTACAGTCATACATAGATACGTGCATTACACGATATGGGTTTTCTGAAATATGAGATCCTTAAATATTATTTGAAATATCATACTTTATATAAGAGATCCACCTCCTGGGAAGGAGGGAGGGAGATCTGGAGGTGTGCGCCGGAGGGTGATCGGTGTCCTCTTGTTGGGTGATGTGTGGCTGTCGTGTCGTGTGGGGTGGTGTGGGGTGCGGTGGGGTGGGGTGGGGTGGTGTGGGGTGGGGTGGGGTGGGCTGGTGTCGTGTGGTGTCGTGTGGGGTGGGGTGGGGTGGGGTGGGGTGGGGTGGGGTGGGGTGGGGTGGGGTGGGGTGAGGTGGGGTGGGGTGGTGTGGGGTGGTGACTGCAGGCGGTGAAGATCTCGGGAGGGAGGGAAAGCCATCTCCTCTCGCACCCGCTGTGATGCAGTGGATGGTGGTGGTGGTGGTGGTAGAGGACTGAACATACTCACCACTACCCTACACTGCACATGTGTAGTGCAACCCCCCGCACACACGCACGTGCATGTTCCCTTGCTTGGACCCTCTTGTTGGTTGCTGCGTTGCGTACGACACGACCTATGACTTGCCTGGTCTGTTCATATTTGGCTTTTACTGCAACAACGTGTAGTTAGTTAATGCTGGTGACCAGTTCTAATGCCACACTACCACACTACCATTTGCCCGCTCGTGTTTGTGCTCCCAGCGGTCTCTGCGCTGTGTGCACACATACATCTGACTGCTCGTTCTTTTCCTCGCACGCTTAAAGAAGCAGCACAGCACATTGCACTTCGCTCGGTTGGTTTCTGGATTGGTTGTAGTCGTACCTGCCGTACATCCGGTACGAAGTATTGTACCTGCTTTTACACATGGCTCCACGTTACGCCACGGACTTTTGAGCTTTTTTAATTGAGGTGAGGTGAGGGTTCGGCTTTTGGCTAATGGCCTTGCCTGTCGATGCACGAAATTTGCTCCACGCCGCGCAACTACTCCGTTGCTTGGAGAAATGAAACATCATGAAACAGCGCAATTTTTAAATGAGTCCGTCGTTGGGAACAGGGAAGGTCCGTTCCTGGAACAGGCGCGGCCATGTTCCCGGAACAGTACGGCTATCACATGGAACAGGAACACTTTCCTTTGGAACAAGCCCTTTCTTTCATTTTCTTTCACACGTTTGTATGGCTTCTTTGTCCGTGGATAGTACATGACAAACAATGAACGCAAGGCGCGCTTACGGTATCTCGCTTCGTCTTCCCCGCCATTCCCACGCGCCTATCCTATAAATGGAGCAATTTTGGCCTATATATTGGTGTGAAGCAAACAGCGAAGGCGCGAATTGATTGGCCTGACGTGACGTGACCTGACATTACTTGACTAGGCCTGTGAGGTCGGAGGTAGGCGAGGTTACAGAGAACGCATAGTGTCACGGCGATCAGCTGGGACGCTGTAAATGTTTCTGGTACCAACTCTTTCCATTGCGCCGGAGGAAAGATGCGCCTTAGGTCTTCTAGGAAGTGCACCGCGCTGACGACGGTGGCCATCAAGACTATAGCTGCCACGGCTGCAGCCGCCGCCCATCTGTATCGTGGGCCCATATTTCGTTTACTTCGGCTAGCTGGGAGGCATGCACATTGTCGTGAGTGGGTCTCTATGGGGTACGCTAGCAGATGTGAAGGTACGCTCGTCCACCGGGCGTACCCTTACGACTTTCGCGCAGCGCAGTGCTAGGGTCCTTTAGAGGTTTCAAAACACCCATGCGCACCCTAGTGGAGTTGCAATAATGACAAGCAGCGTCCGTTTCGTTGGTTGGACCTTGTCCGTGCGACCGGTTTGACGAGCGGTTCGTATTATCGTCATAAATAGTGTACAGAGGGCGAAAAAGTCAAATTGAAGCATATCTAAGGTTAGGAACAAGTTTAAGAAACTAAGAACAAGGGAGTTTGTTCTTGGAACAACTTTCATAGGGAACATAGGGGTCCCTGTTCCCAGCGATCTAGTGTAAACAGGAGGTAATGTCATAAATGGGCCGTTGCGGCAGTGGGCAGTGGTATCATAGCTGCAGCCGCCATCCTCAACGGGTCGCAGCCGAGCTGTCAGTGCTTCCGGCAAGGGCCATAATGCCTAAAACTGTGTTGTTCCGTCACCTCCAAGACCTTCGGAAGCACCAGGCGCCCAGCCCTAGGCCCCGGGGTGGGCAGGCCAGGGCGAAGTGAAGGGCGCTGCGGGCGGATTCCGGAGGGAACTTCCGCGCGAAAAGGTGGCAGCGATAACCTGTTGGGTTGGGATATTAGAGAGGTCGGGGAAGAGGACGAGCGGGAGGGACGAGCAGGTTGTGCGTAAGCGCGCTTGTTAGCCAGCACCGAAAACAACGCCGGAAGCTATTGGGCGAAACCTCTTCATCAGCTCGCGCTCCCGTCGCACAAACCCTTCTGTCCTATGTACTCCATCGTTGGGCCCTACGCAAAGAAGTGAAAAAATGAAAAGCCGCTCTTAGACAACATAAACCGCCACCGGGCTTCCTCGCCACATATACACGTACTACTACGCATATGTAATGCACATTAACACATTCACTACTACCTATATCCTTAAGCTAAGAAAGAAGAGCAAATTTGAATTGTAAAGTGTAAGATGAAACGCTCATCCCTTCCCCCTCCGCCTACGTCCGCTAGCCAGCCAGCGCGAGCGAGCCTGAGAACCACACCAATCCAATTACCCACCTAGGGGCACGTAGCCGAGACCCTCCAGCCAGGCGCGCAGTGTGGGAGCTTCCACGTCCGACACCGCCCCTGCATCCGTCCCCGCCGTCGCCTCCACTGCTCCTCCTCCTCCTGCTGCTACAGTCGCACCCGCAGGTACGGGTGGCGACCACGGCTTTGACGGCGGTCTCTGCCCTAGCTGTACGGCAAAGACGCGGCCGAGGGACTTCAGCGAGGCGGAGGCCCCCCTACCGCTACTGCCGCCATAACCGCCGCCGCCATCGCCGCCTTCAGCACCACTACTTCCACCGCCGATGTCGTCATCATGATGGTGTTTTATCCAGCAGCCCTCGTCGGGGCCCCAAAGCCGGTGACCGTCAGGCAAAGGCGGCGGCTCATCTGCCGGCGCTACCACCCCCACCCCCACCACCGCTGGCGCCGCCGGTAGCGCCAGCAACTGCCACAGCCAATCGAGGCCCCTCCACAGCTGCTGCTGGCGATGCCGGCGCCATCCCCGTACCCCCTTCACACGGGCCGCACCCACACCACCTCTTCCTCCTGTACTTTTACTTGCCACCAGATCGGCGGCCAGCTGCCGGATGTCAGTTGGCTGAAAGCTGCGAGGGTGCCAGCCTCCACCGGAGGTCCAGTCCGCGAAGTGCGCTTCTCCCAGGCAGTCGGTCTGAAGGGAGTGAGAGGGCGGTGGATGGAGCGGATGCGGACGGGAGGGCGGAGGAAGGAGCGCTCGCCGTGGGGCAATACGGGAAGAGGAATCGGGGAAATTAGGAAATTAGAGTGGGGGCTGGTGGGGTTTATGTAAAGGGGTACCTCACACACACACACACACATAATCAGAAACAAACACAAGCCGTAGATATCTAGATATAGGAGAATAACGCGGCGCATGGCGCTTGATTACGGGCTCGGAGTATTATCTCGGGGCCCCAACCCAATCCGACCCGACCCGACCTGATAAGCTCTAAGTCGAGCACACCTGGTCTTCCAGGCCGTAGGATGCCAGGAGAGTTGGTAGGTAGTGCTCGTCGCTGACGCACGAACGCGAGCTGGCAGTTAATGCACGGTGTAAGACCCACGGGTCACCACCAGACATCGTGCTCCTCCCGTCACCTTTGCCTTCGCCGCTTGGGCCGACCGTGCTACCCTTGCCATCGACGACATGTTGGCTGGACGTGCCGCCACCTCTGCTGCCGCCGCTACCACTCGCTGCCCTGATCGTCAAGTTCCCATTCCGGTTACTGTTAGTGCTGGTGAACTTGCTGCTGGGCCCCGATGTCGATCCGGGCAATGGACCAACTCGTGGGACCCGCGTCGCCTTGTCCCCCATCAGCGTCCGCCTGCCCGGTGGCTGAGGCGGCAGCTCTGGGGCCCCGCTCGTGATGGTTGCGGTCGTCACACCACTTATTACCCCCTTATTTCCACCTCCACCTCCGCCTCCGCCTCCACACCTGTCAAGGCCTTCATCACCCTTGCTGCCGCTGGCATCACCGGTCGTGACGCCGCCCGCTGCACGTGTCCGTCCAGTACTTGTTGCAGCATGCCCGTCGGCGTCACTTGCTGCAGCTGTAGCGTCATTTGCTGTAGCAGTAGTGGCAATAACGTCATTTTGATGACTCGCAGCTGTTGTAGTAGTAGTGGCGACGGCGGCGGCGGTGGGAAGGGATCCTCTGCGGCTGTAGCAGAAGCGGTGGAAGACCTCCGCCAGGTGCTGGTCTGCAACCGCCAGCGCCGCGTGTTGCCGCGTCAGCACAAACCACTGCGAGCAATGCAGCAATGCAGCGACAGCAACATTGCCTCGGGAAGGAGGCCACTGGTGAAGCTTAACCACCCTGTAACAACATCAACATAGTAAGTATGCTGTAGCTACCTCGGGCCCCTCCCACTACCGGTAGGAGGGAGCATGGAGACCACCAGCGAGCGAGGCAGGAGCACACAGCTCCGTGTTCCATGCTCCATAACCCCCGTGCCACGTTTCGCCATGAAACACACCTTTGAAGCACCCGACTTTCCTAACTACCAATGGTTCTCTCCCGACGCTGTAATAGTTTTCAATGATGACAGTCGACCGTCCATGGGGCCCCGGACCCTCTCCCCCCCACACCACCTCCTGGAGGGGTTTTACGGTCGCCTTCCCCGGGCCCCCAACGCACTCATGCGGAACTTGTAACTTATATTTCATCTTTGGAAGTGAGGGAGAAATTGACGGTAGATTTATTTGGGCCCGATTGTGTTTCTGGCAAATTGAGCAACTATTGATTATGTTATCAGATGCAAGAGAGGGATAGATTATTTTTGGAGATTAAATTTTGCGCGGGTGCTGTTAACGAGGTAGGGGGAGTTTTTCCGTGAACCAACTCTTGCAACTGCTCCGCAGCAACCGCTACAACGACAATAACCGTTAATACAAACTACTTTCTTCCCCGCAGACTAATGCTTGTGTAGACCTGGACAACCCCGCCAACGATAACCCCGCCCCCCCCGGCCCCCACCGCACTCGTGCGGAACTTGCAAACCCCCGGTGACCTAACTTTCATTTCCGCTGCACGAGACACACACACACGTCCCCCCACCAACCCCAATTCCACCACATACACATACATACAGATACAGCAACTCAGATACCGCAGGGGTGCCCAGGACCACCTGCCTGCGAGCTCTTCCGCCAATGCTCTCGACGGAGGTGCGGTGTGGCCATGGACGCGTGCCACCTGAGGGCACCGGATAGGGGACCCTCAAACTTAGCACCGGGGTAGTCCAAGGGCTTGTGGGCAAAAACGAAAAGAGGATGGCATGAAAGGAAACCACACGTGAAGACGAGGAGCCCTAGGTGGGAAAGGCGGGGCTTCTAAGAAGGTGGTAGAGGATGGTAACAACTTAAAAACCTAGGAAGCCAGGGGCTGAAGGAGGGCCCGAGGACGAGAGGGCCCGAGGGGTTAAAAGAGCGTCGACGACCTTTTTTGCTTCACGCGTAATAATTCCTTCGCACCTTACCTGCTGAGTTCGATGTCCACATCCAGGCACGCATCCACTCGACTCCGCTGCTCCCAGATGAGCTGTGACCACACGTGGGGGGCGGGCTGAGGGCCAGAACACCCACGTGGCACCAACAATGCCACCCACCATCGCCGCCAGCACCAGCACAGGAACCCACTCCATCGCCGCCATCGGGTCACAGGGAATCGCGACAGCAGTAGCGCAGCAGCCGCAGCGACAGAGCAGCAGCATCGCCGCCACCAACCACAGTCCACGGGGCCACGATCAGCAGCAGCCGCCGCAGAGGTGGAAGCCACCCGCGGAAGAAGAGACCAGTGCAGCCACGGGGAAGAGGGGAGGGAGCGCAAGCAAGTGCCGCGAGAGGGAAGCGGGGAGAAGCAGGAAGGGAGGATGGATGAAGGATGGATGAAGCCTTGCTGGACTTTGGCTGTAACAACTACCCTGCGCTCCGTCCTCCTCCTCCTCCTCCTCCTCCTCCTCCTGCTCCTCCTGCTTCGCCCCCTCATCACCGCGCCTGCGCTACCTCCTCTTCCCTTCACAGCCCTACGTGTCGGCCTACGTCTAAACCCTAACAACACTTTAGTTCCCCTTAAGGGGATGAACTAAAGGGGATGAGGTCTTCCCCTAAAGGAGAACCCCCTAAAGGTCCCCTTCCAAGCTCTCAGTTCTCTCTCTTCTTTCCCTCACTCCCCCGTCTCTCTTCCCATCGTCCCGCCTCTCAGTCTTGCCGTCCCCACGCGTTCCCTGCGCCTTTCCCCTCTTTCGTCTCGTAACTGAGAATCGCCCAGTTGCTCTTGAGCAGCTGAGCCGCGGCCTGGTCAGTTCCCCCCTCTCCACTCCGCCGTCGTCAGCCGCCCTCCCCCCCAGCATCGCTCATCAGTCGTCCAGTCGTTTGCGCTCTCTCGTGCGCTCTCTCTCACCCGCACCCACCCTCACGGGAATGGAAGTCTCGCTGAGCAGCACCAGCCGCACCGTCAAAGAGTCCCGCAGCGCCGCGGAGATTAGCAGCAACTCGGCCTGGAGAGACAAAAGATGGCGGGGGGGAAGAATGGAGGAAGTACTTTCACTTTGGGTTTTTCTGAAACAAGTGGAGAAAAGAATCCAATGTTGAGCTCCAACTGGGTTTATACGGGTGTTGATGTAATAATATACGACAAGTAACGACGATAAGACAATGCGAGGGTTGTTGCAACGGCATTGATGCCACCACAGGGATGGAACCCCCCACAAAAAACACCAAGGTTTTTGAGGACAGAGCTCTGCTCCGCTCTCTTCTTTTGAGGCAGTTCCTGCTCCACCGCCCTAGGTACCTCCTCTAGATGGCGCCGAGATGCTCCTCCATGTCCATCCAACCGTCTGTTATGATGTACGTCTGTTACCCGTCCGTACATCTGTCCGTACGTTTGACCACGCAACGCACATGTATCAGGACGTGCTGAGCGTAGCCCCTTGTCGTGTTGGCTCCGCGCACCAGCACCGCCTGAGATAGCAGGCCCACATCTGGCCGCCGGGAGGGGTCCGACATATGCACATACAGACGAAAGAAGCGCCGCCAGCCGCCACCGCTGCTGCTGCCAGTGCTAATACCGCCACCGCTGCTGCTGCCGGTGCTAATACCGCCACCGCTGCTGCTGCCGGTGCTAATACCGCCACCGCTGCTGCTGCTGTGGCGACGGCGGCGGCTGACGCTTGCACCTGCGTTCCCGCTGCCGCCGGCCGCGCTGTTGCCACCTTCACTCGTCGCGATACCGCTGTCCGGAGTACTGCCGCAGCTCCACGCTGTCCACATCTCCTCTAGCTTTCGCGCCTCCTCCTCCTCCTCCTCCTCTTCTCCACTCTTCGCCGCCGTCCCCCCGCCTGGCATCCATAACCACCTCAACCACCACCAACGACCAGATTCACCTCGGACTCGAGGCTGTCTGCCAATCACCGTGTTGGATGCCGCCGCTGAGGAAGCCGCATCGGCCGGCGCTGAAGGCAGCGCCAGCAGCTGCCGTACATCCCTCTCCGCTTGCGCAATGAGGTACGACGACTCCGCAGCAGCGGCATCAACAGCATTCCATGGCATCTGCCGCCGCCGCCGCCGCCACCATCCCCAACCCAACAACCACCTTTGCCATCGCTCCAGTCGGGGCTGTATCCAGCCTCCCTCGACGCTCCGACCACTCGCTCGCATAACGTCGATGCGTTGCCGTACAGCCTTTCGCAGCAATCGCAGCACATTGACCTCAGCCCAGGATGCTGTGGCCTGGTGCACTGCGGCTGAAGGTTTCGGAGCCGCAGACGGCTCCTGCGTCCCTGTCGCCGTCGACCCCTCTGGAAAGCCCACACCACGATTACAACCACAACCACCACAACCGCGGTTGCGGTTGTTACTCAACGGTAAGTTGTTAATACTGTTGCTGCTACTGCTGACGCCGCTGCACTCACATCCGTTCCGCATGCCGCTGACGGCACCTGCGTCGCCTCCGCCGCCTCCGCCTCCGCCGCGGATGCAGCTCTTCATCGCCACCGCTGAACTGGCATTGCCGCCGATAGGGTTGCCGCTGCTGCTGCTCCCAGTTACGTTGGCAGCAGCGGATGCGGCGTCGCGGCACCAGGGCCGCGGGAACAGCTCAGCGACCAGTCGCTGACTGACGGCGACAAGCGCGGCATCCAGCAATGCTGCCCTCACCGCCGGAGCTGAAGCTGAAGCTGAAGCTGCATCCGGAGCTAGGGGTGCTGCTGCAGGCGGGGCCCTGATCCCCCCGTCCGATGGTTGCGGTGATGGCCGTGGAGTATGAAGAAGCTGCGGAGGCTCGTCTCCCGGCTCCGGCTCTATGGGCAACAGGTGTTGTTGGGCATAGCCCTGTGTGGAATGGTTGATGTTTGTTTTCGGTAAAGCAGGCGCGCAATTGCGCGTGCCTCCTTAGCAAGGCTTCGGTCCCTGCACGACTAATAAAACATCGCAGAGAGACGAGTGGCCGGCCGCCGTGTACAAGGCTATATTAGTTTAGTTTAGGGGTGGGGATATGGTATACCCGTCTAGGCTCGTCCGAGTTGCAGACAATATTAGCCATATTGGCCGCGATGGCGACTGCGATGGTGGACACCGCAGGACACAAACAGGCCCTGTTACCCGGCACGACAACACAGGCGGGGTTCCCAAGCTCATCTAAATTCCATCGCTGTCGCCTCTTCCTTTGTTTCCTTTGTTTCCCTTCGTCTGTGTGTCATTCCAAGAACCAATCGGCGCTTCGTACTTTTCCGTACCACCGTCCCTCACCGTCGCCGCGCAGGGTTGCACACCGTCTCTCTCACCGAGTACGCGGCCTCGTCGTACTGCCGTAGCGGTGGCTTCAGCGCCCCGCCTACAAGGGCTTGCAGGTCGACGGCGGCGGCGCGGCGTACGGCAGCCACTGGCGGCGGCCGCCGCAGCTCCAGGGACGCCGCGCTCTGCAGGAACGCGATCCAAAGGGCCTCATTGGCTAGAGGACCATCACCCTGGACCAGGAACAGCAGCGCCACCCGAGGGATGATCGCCTCGGGCTCGGGCTCTGAGTCCGGCTCTACCGCTCTAGCTGCAGAAGAAGCCACAGCAGCTGCTCGTGCTGACATCGATTCAGGCGCTGCAACTGCAGACAGGTCATCTACGCGTTTGGGGATTTTAGGCGTACCAGGATCTGTACGCGTGTACGTGTGCGTGTACGTGTGCGTGCGCTCCTCAAGCGCCTCAGCTGGAGGGGCCCCCGACGTGCAGCTGCAGGGACCCGTGACTCCCACCGTCGCTGTTTCCTCCGCCAGCTGCTGCGGGTCTGTCGCGGCGGCGGGGGTGGGTACGCCTGTGCCTGCGCGCCAAGGGCGTTGACGCTGCCAGTCGGCAGGTGCTGATGGTGCTCCCGCTGCTGCCGCCGCCGCCGCCGCCGCTGCTGCTGCTGCTGCTATTGCTGCTGCTACAGCAGGTTCGACACTGGGTTGTTGTTGCTGCTGCTGCTGTTCTTGTTGTTGTTGGTGGTAATAATGATGATGCTCGGATGTGGCTGCTGTGGAGGTGCCGTCCTTGCGTATACTGTCCAGGGATGGTGGTTGCGACTGTGCTGGATGTTGTGATGGTTGTGTAAACCCTAGGGAGGTCCTAGAAATCAGCGTGGCCTCGTGGGCCTTGTGCAAGTTTGGCGACGGAGATTGTGGAGAGCGGGTAAGGGTGAAGCCCGGGAGTCCGGGCGGCCCCTCCTCCTCCTCCTGTGTCGCGCGCAGCCTGACAGCGCCCCAGATCAGCATCGAGGTGCCGAGCAGGACGAGCGCGAAACCGAGCACAAGCCGGATCGCGACAGGCCCGCGGGTAACGGTGCGTAGCAGCACCGCGTGGCGGTGCAGCGCAGCGGCGGCGGCGGCACCGCCGCCAGCGCCGCCTCTGCCGCCGCCGCTGCTGCTGCTACTGGCGATGCTGCAGCTGCTACTGCTGCCACGCATGGCCGCTTGATACAGCTTCACCGGCGCACCGCGAAACTGCCGTCCTGTTTGTGGCTTTGCACTTCAAAAGCGGAATATATTTGGAATGGCTAGGGAAATGGCGGTTGTGAACGGATGAGGATGTTCAGCCCGGCATGGTGCTAGTGACGCTTGAGGCGGTAGTGGTGAAAATGGAATTTTCGAGAAGCAGTCGCGGATAGGCCGACGCTAGGGAGTCCGAGGTGTGACGGCTCCATGTGCCCGAGGAACAGGCGCTGGGAGCTGTTGTTACATCTGTCAGCCAACAGCAGAAGGTCATGGGGCCAAACTTCATCAAGCTTTCACCCCTGCTGTCATCCCGTTAAGCCAGTTTACGTGCGGCGGCTCATTTACAGTACACAGCGAGTTTCACAAGGACTTAATCCGCGAATGCTAAATGCTGGGGCCTTGCGCGTTGCGTACCTTTTCTAGTAGCGTCTTTGTGAGCGCGTGTGCACATTACTAGTCAAGAGCGCATGCCGCGCGCGCGCTCTTCCATTTGATCCTTAAAATGAGCGAAAGTAATTACCGCGTGGTAAAAGTCAGGGAAGTCCCCAGAGGGAGACGTAAGCGACACACGAAACCGTGAAATAGGAAAACTCGGTGAAGAGAAAGAAAGCCACGCACACACGGCAGCTGCGAAGCGAAGCAGCCTTGCAGCAGCTTTGCGGCAGCACCCGTATTGCACCCAGGCTTGCGTGTGCAGTACGCGATCCTCGGCCGTCCTTTCGGCAATGCCTTTTTTTCCACGCGCACACCCTGCCCCTGCTTGACGCCGCTGCCATGCATCCCTGTACAGCTGCAACGCCTCTTCCCCGCCCCCCTCCCCCCTCCCCCCCCACACGCCAACAAGAATAGCGCCTTTGGAGGGAACCCGCATCATCATACAGGTAGTGGCAGCTGTCCACCGAAACGCAGGTGCAAATCATGGAACACCGTACTTGTGTCCGTTGGCGATTCCCGAATGAACGAAATGTGCGAGCCGCTAAGAATTTACCAGCAGCACAGCCAACGTCCTGTTCCCTCGCCGCCTACGACCAAACATTGTCCGAAAACCTAGGTTCTTTTACTACCCTTGACGCTGCCTGCACCCCGGGACCCCTTGGATACTACGCAATACCCACCTCGGCCATCACCTCGGACCCCTCCTCTGCCGCAAATTTGCCGTATTTACTAACCGTATTTCCTGTATTGCTTGCTCGTACATCCTCTCGCATTGTTCGCGTCAATTGCACCCCACCGCACGGTTTATATGTTCAAACCGGCTGCATGGAGCCCCACTGCGACGTGATTCACGCACATCCATCCTAAAATCTCCTTTGCTCGCTTCGTCTCATCTCTATGTTGATATTTAATTATTGTTTCGTTTAAAACGAGTTGCAGGATGATGGTGGTTGTAGGATTGCTCATTAGATAAGAAACGCTCCGGCTGCGTGCATACACAGACGAACGTATACGGATACATCCATCCGTATCAATCCACCCGCGTGCCGATGCCATTTTTTTATCACCCGCCCTCTACACCCACCCTCACCTCCGCCTCCCCTTCCGCCTACACCTCCACCTTCCTCTCCCCTTCAACCTCCACCTCTACCTCCCTCTCCCCTTACATCTACACCTCCACACCCGGAATGAATTGCTCGCAGCGCAGCAGGTCCAGACTGCCGCCGTAGTAGATGCTCACGTGCAGCGGTACCCGCAACCCCAGGTGACCCATGACACCCGCACTGGCGGCCTCCTGAACCGCCGCCAGCGCCGCCGCCAACATCCGCTGCCGAACACACAACGCAACACGCGCCTCGCCGCACCAGACCAGCGACGCCGCCGGAGGCGGCAGTGCTAGTGGCGCGGTTGAGGGTGCGGATAAGGGTGGGGATGTCGTAGTAGGTGGTGGATGTGGCGCAGCAGCAGTAGCAGCCGCGGCGGCGACGCGTTGCAACGTCAGCGATGCCGCCGTGCGCACCACCTCTGCCGCCGCGGCGGACAGCTGCATGGCGCTCAGCAGGCGCTGCAGTTTGGCCGCCGCCGCCACACCGCCGGCGGTCAGCTCCCGCGTGGGCGGGCGGAGGCGCCGACCCGATGGCAATACCACAAACCTGAGCCCCGATGTGGAAAAAAAGGACAACGAAAACATCGACCCATCGCCACACCCAAAGTAAACATACTCTCAGTGCATGAACATGATAAAAGGGTGGTGCGCGTGTGTATGTATGTATGTATGTATGTATGTATGTGTGAGAGTGAGTGTGTGTCGCTGTTCGTTGGTGCTGATGCCCGGGACGAATATCGGTATGTGCAGAAGGCCTGTATGTATGGCGCCCGGTCTTACATGCGGCCTTGTTTCATGACAGAGGCCTAGCCGCGGCCTAGCCCACACGCCCCTTGCAGCCCTAGCGTACCCCCCCAGGTAGCAGGCCGCCGCCGCAAAGAGTCCATCCGGTGGAAGCGCCCGGACAGAGGCCTCGGCTAGGCATGAAATTGGCGTGCCTAGCTAAACCCCCCACCCGGCAACCTACACATCACAACTATGTGGGCGGTTAACACACCGACCCCCACCACCCCGGTGAGCATCAGGACACGCCCTCACCCACATGATCCAGTCCACCTGTTCTTTCCGTCCCGGGTCCAAATCCATGTTTCACCCACCACGGCTCGGCACCAACCACCTTACCCGTCTTTCTTGGCCTTGGCCTGTGGGTGGGAACATCAAGCGGCAGCGACCCCGGAGTATGGTGGGTGGAGGGGTGGGAAGTGGAGTGGGCGGATTTCCACGCAGCCGTCAGTCAGCAAGCACACCAAAGGGAAACCATCCAAGACAACCAGCCCCTACAGCGCATCCAACCCGTGATTCCAATGGGAGTGCTACAACCGCAAAAACCGCGAAACAGCTCTCACCGCCAGCTGCTCCCGGTGGTGTGCTACACCAGGGAAAGCCTCCAGGAAGGAAGACACCAGCGCCGCAGCCGCCACCTTGCTGTTGCCTCCGCCTCCGCCTCCACACTTTCTGCCTCCTCCTCCGTCCGCCAGCAGCCCCAACAGCACAGTCGCTAGGTCTTTATGACTGCACCCGCCCAGCAGCGCCCGGGACACCACCTGCCGGGCCGCCAGCTCCAGGGGTGGGGGGGAACACAGGCTGCCGCTGCCGCTGCCGGGGCCGGGGGTGGCGGGGGTGACGGTCGCGGCGCCGGCTCCGCCAGGGGCAGGCAAGCCCGTCGAGGTGGGCAGAAGGCGACGCAGCTTATCGGCTTGGCTGCGGTCCCGTGGCACGCGCAGTGCAAGGTTGAGTGGTGAGTATATCTGCGGGTATAGCTTTGGCTGCGGGTGTTCTTACCTTTCCTGCCAGGTGGCCGCTACTGCAGCCCAGGGCTGCGGCTGATAGAGAGCCTCCACCAGCCTGCGAGCGCAAACAGGACCACAACCACAATCACAAAAAATAAGAACAAACATAAACACAACAACAAGCATGAACACAAGGCAAAAGGGCTCAGGCATGGACAAAAGGAAAGGGAAAAGGATAGCCATGATGACAGGGACGAGGACGGACGACGTGAGACAGACAGCAAGGGTGGGGCTGCGGACAGAGCACTCAGCGCAACAGCCAGGTCACACACACAGCGTCAGGTTTATCATTTGACAGGGTTTAGGCATATGCACACCCAACCCTTTTCCCGCCCAATATGCTCACCCTCACTCACCCTTCATCCCCCGAGCAATGCGCCAGCGCAGCCAGGTGCAAGTAGGGATACAGCACGCTCACAAACACCCAGCCGCCAGGCGGCCGCAGTAGATCCTCTGCGGGCGATCGGAGCACCTGGACATGGGGGGGAAGAAGTGGTTTCGGAGTTTGGCTTTGGAGAGGGTCCAGGGGGGAGAGGGCCGCTTGGGATGGGGACTTAGGAACCATGTTACTTTGGGGGCCTCCCACCCAAACCGCTACACCTCTCACACCCACACCCAAACCGCTACACCTCTCACACCCACACCCACACCCACACCCACACCCACACCGCTACACAGACACACAAGACACATAGACACAGACAGGCAGACACACACCTGGCCCTACCTGCAGCATCGTCATGGTGTTCAGCTGTCCCGCCCGTGCAGCCGCCACACACTGGTCCGCCCCACAGCAGCTGCGTGCGCACCACACCTCACTGGCGGGAAGTGCCAGGTGGAGGGGCTGACGGGTGAGCGGGTCGGTGACCGCAACCACCGCAACGTTGCACCTGCTGTGCAGAGGCAGGTTTCCAAACAGGAGACACAGACAGCACAGACACAAGCCCGTCAGCAATTGCCTCGGGGGTACTTGCGGAAATACCCGGGCGAAAAGTTCCAAAAGTAACAAGTTTTTTGGACCGCTGCTCTCGGGGTCGCGCTACAATGGGCGGGGGCCTATAGACCTCATCTCTGGCCTTTGCCAGCCGACGCAGCGATCGGGCGCGGGCAGCACTAAAATCGGTAATAATACCACCGGTAACCACAGGTACCGGTAATGACGCCGGTAATTCGGTCGGACCCACCTCCACGCGACTCATTCATTCCTTCATCAGTATAAGAGGTCTTACCTAAGGTGAGACCTATTCTTCCGTACTGGTAGCTTCTTCCGTACCTGCTGCCAGGGCTCCCGCCACGGCCGGCTTGGCAGTGCGTCTTCTGGACTTCCCCTCCTGCCTTCGGGACTTCCGCTTCGAGGCCTCCAAAGTGCAGCGCCACACGTGGACTGGGATCCTGCAGCTCCAGCAGCAGCCCCGGACGAAGGACCCATGGGTCACTGGGCCGCTGGTACTGCTGGTTGTGCGGGCCAATGGAGGACGGCGGGTTTGTGGCTCTGTCCAGGAATAAGACCGGCAGCGGTAGGAGGCTCTGGGGGAGAGAGGGAAGCACCGGGTGGGATGGAAAGGCGGGAAATTAACTGTACAAGAAACAAGGGATCAACTGCCGACGCCCAGAGGCCGCGAAGGAAAGGAGACCCGGGTTGATTACAGGCAAGCGCGGGCCCAGGCGCGGGGGTCCACCTCCGAGGTGAGGTGAGGTGAGGTGAGGTGATAAGGAGGGGGCAAATAGATTCCAGACGTGACCCAGAAGTGAGGCGCGTGGATGGGAAGAGAAATCAGTCCCGCAGCTCCAAGAGCCCAACCCCACGAGGCCATGCACCGCAACGGCTGTCCTAGCAGCGCAAACTGCACACAGCAAGAAGCCCACTATTACGCCTTCTGCAGGAGGAGTTCGGCCAACAGCCTCTAACCTGCGTTTGGGCCGTATGTGCCTCCAAATTTCGGAGCAGACTCGTGAAAAAGGAAGGCGTGTGTAGGTTTGAGGCCTACGCTTCCGTTATGGCGAGTGCGCTGGTATAGAGCTAGATCGTCAAGGACCAGCTGCGGACGTCTTTACGGCTTATGCCATGGGCTTATGCGCCGGAGTCCGCACGCATTACGGCCGTGCGCACCTCATCTGGCT